GCTCTACTGACAGGTATATTCCTGGCAGGCAAAGAATATTATGGTCTCTTCTTATGCTCGGACCAAAGATGCTAGCCAAGCAAAATATATATCAATTCTGAATATCATCCAAGGAGAGGTTGATCCAACTCAGGTAATTAGAATAATTTTGCAGTATTATTTACACCGCATTTTTCTGCTTGTAAATTGAAACTCAGTTACCCCAAAAAAAGTCATCTTGCCAACCATTTTCTATGTGCTTGTTTGGTCCTGCTGTGAAATTAATGCTTTTATTATTTTTTAGGAGATGCTTTGTTAATCTAATTCTGCAAAGGCATTTCTTTTTTCTGCCTCTACTATTCTTCCTAGGTGAAGTGCCAATTTCCTGCTGCTGTTTAGCATTAAATTTGTTACTTCTGCTGTCACATTAAAGCTTGAGAAATTCTATACTCTAGTTGAAAACCTTGAAAAATTAATAGAAGTACTTAAAAATGAATAAATTAACCTTCCTCTGATGCTGGTGGAGCTATTCTAGTTTTTTACTGCTATGGGTAATTTATAAAGTTTTCATGAAGTTGCAGCTTTCCCAGATTAACTTGTGATAGTTAATATCATGTTTCTAGCATTTAAATATTTTAAAAAGTGCTATACTATATCATGACTTTATCTTTCTGTTTGGATTTAGGTTCATGAAAGTTTGCAGAGGATACGTGAAAGAAAACTAGTTAACTTTATTGAGTGGGGTCCTGCAAGTATTCAGGTCTGTGCACTGCAGCAAATCAATCTAAAGTTGTGCCAGCTGGGCAATTTGTCTCCTTCATATTTAGTTTTATTACACAATCTGATTTCCCACACTTCGTAGGTTGCTCTATCTAGGAAGTCTCCATATGTTCAAACTGCACACAGGGTACGAACTCTATTCTTTTTTTATGTTGGTCTTTCTTTTGATGCTTATCATACTTTTCAGCTTATTGTATCGGATTATATTGGAGGTAGATCAACATTTCGTTCTATAAACGTTTTTTATTCTGAGGTTGAAGAATCAAAGCAATTGAGTTATGAAATAACCTATAGTTGCTGCATTTGGTAGGTCAGTGGCCTTATGCTGGCAAGTCATACTAGCATCCGTCACCTTTTCAGTAAATGTTTGAGCCAGTATGAGAAGTTGAGAAAGAAACAAGCCTTTTTAGACAACTACCGGAAGTTCCCAATGTTTGCTGTAAGTGTGCCAATTTCATATGATGAACCCTGATATCACTCTTTTGGAACACTGCTGCTGCATCTGTTAAATACTTAATTGGCCAGTGCATCTTACACTTAGTGCTTGGATACTTGTCATTTCATCTGATGACACTGAAAAAAAAATGGACAGGATAATGATCTCTCTGAATTTGATGAATCAAGGGACATAATTGAGAGTTTGGTTGATGAATATAAGGCCTGTGAGTCCCCAGATTATATCAAATGGGGAATGGAGGTAGATTCTCTACAACCCCCACTTCCCATTTTAAGTTCATGTTGCATAGTGCTAATTTTTTCCCCTCTTATTTAGGATCCTAACAACATGCTAACTGGTGAAGGCAATGCTACAGGATCATTGGATCCAAAATCAGTAGCGTGAATAAAGCATGTAAGCTATGATTTGGCCGTGATTTTGGTTTACTTCAAGTTTATGGATTTGATTTTACTTCCATTATCTAGGAAGATAAGTAAAATACCACTCGTAATATAAATTCAAGTTCTCACTCTTGATCACAAAAATGTCTCCTTTTGTAAAATATCCATTCTTGTGACAAGTGACTTCACGATATTTAGCACTGACTTTTATATATTTTTAAAATTCTCAAATTATAAATTGCTTTAAAATTTATTTTTAACCCTTCAAATATCCACTTTCTCAAATTATGTTACTTTTATATCAAAATACAGACTCTACATCATTCTTGCTCAAAATATAGCCATGTCAAAGAATCATTTAAATACTTGATGAAAAGGTGAAAAGCCTGAACCGAATCATTGCAGGTACCACAATGGGAGGGATATAAAAGGAAAGGATTTTGTGTAAGATCAACAAGGTTGCTAATGAACTTCTCAATTTTTTGGGGCTATGAGATGGTTTTTGGTGTGATTATTTTGGTTTGTATTTGTTTGCTAATCATTTGGGCATCAGCCCAAGCAAGATCGAGTACAGAATCTCACTGTATTGATTCGTTTTTAGCAATGTATATGGTTGGTTGATCATTAAAATGTAGAGAATTAGGAAATCTAGTTTTATTATCTGAATCTGACGTGTTTGTTAGGTGTGATCTTGCTGTTGCTTTGGGATGAATCTTAAAATACTTCAGTTGATGTGGTGCATAGATTTACACGATTCATGTGGTGCAGAGATTCACATGTTCAACGGACCCTTTAAACTGCCATGGATCGCTCAATTATCGACACCGTGATCGGGGGCGTTTGTCTAATAATTAATTTTGTGAAAAGGACATCATTTGGTTGCACTCAAAGAAAAGAGAAAACTTCGTGTGGTAACGATCAAGTGTAGTGTCATGAAAAACCAGTTTACCAACTACAGAATGAAAGAAAAACGTTTATTTAGTTGGGGCCTAAATCCTAATTTTAAAGAAAAGAAAGAAAATTCTTCTGCACTTGCTACGACAGCCGACGTGATCAACGTATAGTTGTGCCTGCTCGTTTTGTATCAAAATCATGTTCTTGGCCGACAATTTTAACAGGGTTTTGTTTGGTAACTTTTTTTTTTCTCATTTTCAAATTCAATTTAAGAAATGAAAATATTAAGCTTTTCTGAAGGAAAAATTGGTTCTAGATGCCAAACTCACGATGTAGGTTAGGCAATCCGATTATGATTTAAAAGTGGTTTAAATTTACCGACTTGATGAAATTAATTTTTCACAGTTCATTTTTAAAATGTCGTATAGTACACTTAGGGGTAGGTTTTGCCCAGAATTAATTATTTTAAAATATTTTTTCCCGAATTACTTTGATTAAAATGTGAAACAAATGGACCCAAGTGTACAGACAAAAGCAGCCCAAAGCAACTCAATTGCATTGTGTATTTTTTTTAAAAAAAAAAAAAAAACTTATCGTTGACGTGCAAAATTAATTTTCAAAACTTCTATGTGGAAAAAAATTACTAAAAAGTCAAAGATATATAACTGAGCAATCATGGGATAGGAGGAGAAAATAGAAAGAAGCAGTGGTACTAATACTACTGCATTGAAAGAATATTGAATGCGTCATTCGGTGGTCTAATTCATTCCTGTGAAGTCATATCATGATTCAAGAGCACATGGGATGTTCTCTTTTAATGTTTAGACGCATGTTCTGTTCACCTTTCTACATGGGATTGGGTTTTTCTCTTTCCAAGTTGTAACATGTCCATATTTGCTACAAACCAGAGTGAGAAACCCAAGACACTTGGATTTTGGTTATCAGCTGATGAAGAAAATGTAACCAATAGAAGATCTTGGGGCCATCACTTGAATATTTAAGCCACCAAAGGTTTCCATTCAAAATATCTATAGGTGGTCCATCGCAAGATAGAACCAAAGCAATTGATTCCTGTTTGTTTTTACCTCAAATGATCCAAAAGAAATAAGATAATTCGATTTTCGGCGTTTCTAATTCACAAGTTTGAGTTTATCAAAGCGTAGACAATCAACTCGAAGTTGGTTTCTTTATAACGATCTTTTGTCTCATTTCATTGTCTATTGCTGTTTCAAGATGCCTCATCACATACTTAGAGAACGGCCAAATGGACTACATTGCTCATTTGGATTGGTACATGATAGATACCGGGTTTTAATAAGTCCGACTAAAAAGTTTTAAATATAATTTAAGTTTACAAAAATAATGTTTAATTTGGCTAAAATCTGATTTATTTTTTTTTATATATAGATTTTTGCAGGTTTTACCCACACTCAACTTGATCGAATTGAGTTATAAATTTAAATTAAATTTGAGCTTAACATTTAAAGCTTAAGTTCTATATTTACAGATTCGAATGAAGCACGTACAAGTATGACAAATTAAAAACATGTTTTATTTTTGTTTTAAAAACAGTTTTATGTTTTTAAAAGTGAAGTATAATGCAAATTTATATTATATTTTACTTTTAAAAATAGAAAATTTTATTTTTAAAATAAAAATCAAACATACTATTTTTTTTCTCTCCTTTTTATCAAAAATTGGAAAGAAGAAAAGATGAGTGTACGAGTACGTGTAAAAAAGATGTTTCATTTGTTGTATTCTTAAGTCAATGATAACAGAAGTTTTAGTATCTTAATCATGTTTAATTGTTTAAAATAAATTTAATTTATTAACACACTAAAAAATTGGGACAGCATGACATTTGTACGCCCCTTTTAATCCTGTTTCATTTGTAAACTTATATATACATATACATACACACACATATATATATACTTTTCAAAATAATCATATGACTTTAAATAAATTTATCTCTCTTATTTTTATTCTGAAAGTAACTTTCTTGTTTGATATATTTGGTGTGTGTAGATATAATATAAATGCTAACAAATTATGACACTGCTTAAAGAATAAAAAATAAAAAATTATTAAAAGACTATTATTAATACATCTCTCATCATTTTTAAAAATAACTATAGCCTTAAAACACTAGTTAATAAAACTATATATAGTTATATATATATATATATATATATATATATATATATAAACAACTACCACATGGGCATGTTAGCCCCAATTCAAATTAACACAAGAAAAGATGTGCCATAACAGTAAGTGGTCCCATTATAAGGAAGAAAGGCACTCAAATCCCAATGTTGTGTTGGCATTTACATTTTACCGGCTTCCACACTCAATCTCATACTACAGTCACACTGGTTTTCCAATCCAATTCACCTCCATATAAAAGGAGCTCCTTTTCAGTGTATTCTAAACAGACACACATTGACTTGTTGAATTTTGGTTCTGGGGTATCTACATTGTCTCAGTCTCTCTCATTTCAAACCAGGATTCTCTGTTAGAAACTAAAAGGCACCCAAGTGAGAGTGTGAAAAAAAGATGGCATTTTTAAGAGCAGCTTCTGAAATTTTAGCGATCTATACTATGGTCTATGCCATTTTCTCACCTGCTGTTCTTGAAGCCCAATCCCTTTCTCTTGCACCTGCTCCTGCTCCTTCCAGCGATGGTAATTTTTCTCACATTTCTATTTTGTTAAAAATTGAATCTTTTTCTTTCCCTTCACAATTGTAGTGCCCAATCTGTGAAAGAAACAATGATGTAATGCTACATTCAATTTTGAAATTTGTACCTGCGTCTAGGAAATTGAATTTGATCTTTGAGATGTGGTGGTAGATGTTGCAACCTAATACAGTTGAGGAGATCTACATCCCATGATGGTGGAAGGAAATATTTTTACTTTTTCACCATAATTGTCTCAATAAAATTCAAATGGCAACTACACAGGAACACTTGTTTTCGAATGTAGGTTTTTCGTTAGTGGATAAAGCTGCATGACATGACTGTACATAATGTGCTCTTTGTTTCAGTTTTTGGTTTTAATGCATTTATTTGTCTTGGCTTGTTCTTTAGGTACTTCAATAGACCAAGGAATTGCGTATGTACTGATGCTTGTGGCGCTGGTGCTCACGTACCTCATCCACCCTTTTGATGCGTCTTCCCTTTAGTTCTGAATTATTTGTACTGCTTTGTTAAAGAATTTGAACATAGTAGGAGCTGAGGTTCAACTTATTTCGTGGTTCAGGACATCATAATTTATTATGAGTGGTGCTTAATGTTTGCTAGTGCAGGAGATTGTGTTTTTCTGTTCTACTATTTTTATTATTATTATTAAAAATCTGGTAATTTATTATTCCTAGAATCAACGTTAATTCCTTGTTAAAATTTTAATTCAAAAAGTTATCTTATTCTGTACGTCAGAATCTCTTTTTCTAGACAAGGACGGAGGACAGTAAGATTTAACGCTTTAATATTATTCAGTAACTTTATATAAAACATGGCAAAATAAAGTACGCAAATTTAATTATATTTTCAGTCTATTAATATTTTTTCGTGTTGTCCCTCATTAAACTTTTATTTTTTTTAGTTTTGCTGTAAAATAATTATGCTCAACTAAGTTCTATCATGTATATCACCTCTTCATCATGTAAGTTAAAATTTTTTGTCTGAATTCAAAACTTGTTATATTTATAGAAATAAGAAATTAATAATATATTTAAACCAAGTATACATTAAATCTTGTTTAAGTCAGGTAACACTATTGGGTCACCTATCAATTGATTCATTAAAATATGTTATGAATGTAATAGGCCAGGTAAATAACTAATATTTTTCTCAGTATTAACAAATCTTCAGTAAAACCATGATCCATCACCAAATAAATTGGGATCATTCTTTGAAATTGAGTTTCATTCATACACTCATACACAAACAGACCCTTAATCTTATAATTTTCCTGTATTTATTAGTACATAATTAGTACCTTCAAAAGAGTCTCACCATTTATGTGATACTAAACAAGACTATCTTTTGAGAATTGATAATAAAAATGTCCAATTCATGACTTTTATAATCACCGTACACCCCCGATAAAATGCTTAATATTGTAAAAGAGAAAAAAGGAGCAAAAGATATTCAAAATTGCATCTACCTTTTTATCCGTTCTTTCATCCCAGAACTAGAGGATATTCTTGGACTTAATGCTTGGACCCCACAACAATTTTCTTGTATTTCATTCTTAAGAACATGGATCATCCATAATATTCACAAAGAGTTCGTAGCCTATATAATTTAATGAATTGGGTTTATAATAAATAATAAAATACAAGAATTGTGTAAATTCGTATTAAAAAAAAACTATTTTCTCTGCGCAAGCCTATTATCTTGCTGGTGAGGGCCGACTCTGTCTCAATTCGTTTGGTGGCACTTATTAACTTTTCTCATAATGTTTCAAATGCAATGAAGAAAAATGGACAACACGTATCCAAATGGACAATTATTGGATTGTTACTAATTAGTAGGTGCCCACAGCAGAGTGTTTTGTTGCTTCTTTGAGCTCTGATTTCTTGCGACGTTAAGAACACGGTTCTTTTAGGGCCGAGACATGTGGCATTGATGAAATTCATCACTAATCTATCTTTACAAGTGGAATTAAAAAGCCTCCAGATAACAGGGCTGGATGTTAAATTCAAGTATCTTTTATGATGAAGTTGGATGCCTGCGATGTAAAGCATACTTGACAACTTCATAAAAGGAGACAACTATCCCAACTGATGGACCTGCACGCCCTACACGGGGACCAACACCTGTAAATAGTCCTCTTAATCCTCCATCCCTGTCCCAAGAAAAGAGTAGATCCCAAGGTCAATCCATAACTTACATCGTAAATAACCCTCTGAACTCCAGAAATAACATGATCTACAGAGAAGGAAATCAAATGATATCAGATCAATAATCAGCTTAGGAACAAGCACATACCTCCAAATCTCAATTAATGTTGTTCTTGTTGTCATTTTTAATGCTCTTTCGGGATCCTTCTGCAAAAATGCAAAGGAAACCATTACGTTAGAGAAAATGAACTCATCAAACTATGTAAGTTTTACGGGTGCGCAAATTAATTCAATGCTTATATTCCCTATGAAATTTAAAAATTAACTGACGAGGAAAAATCACACCAAAACATTGGGAAAATATTCATGCTAAAAACATTGTCTACTTGTCATTCTTTAAAGATTAAGCTTTCTGGAAAACCATGTATCAATGGCCAATTATATGCGCCTCTACATATTTATCTGCATTATGAGCCAAACCTATGGGCTACAACAGTTTAGCAATTGTTAAATATTCTAACTGGATTGCACTTGTATAGTTGCATACAAAATTCATTGAATTTGAAGCCCGGTGTCAATGTTAATGGATAACAATATAAACATGAACAATTGAAAATATGCACACAGAACCTACCCTCCCCCCTCTTGACCTCCACCCCCCAAAAGAGGGAAAAGTCTGTACTTTTTCTTACATACAACACATCTATTTGAGAACTGTTTCGATTTCTGAGGCTTAGCTCATTAGTTTAAGGGCCAGACAGAATCACGCTGGAAGTTTGATTTCAGACAGCAGCTTGCATAGTATTTTTAAATGACAAATTTCACCTTCTACAAGAACCTAGGTTGATTACTTTTCCTGAGGATGCAGTGTCCAAATTTCTGCCTTTTCTTGGCAGGGGTACGGTGATTGAAGTGCATAGAAAGTTAACCACCAAGAGTAAGGTTTTGAGAAACAACCTCTATTTGTCGTCGAGTTTTTGCCACATCCAGTGGACATGTGGCAGCAGATGCTAAAGTTCCTGCAACAAAACCAGCAGAAAAATTTGCCCCCAGAACAGTAGCTGCGCTTGCTCCATCACCCACCATGCCAAGAATGCTTTTCCTAACCTGAGAAGAGCAACTCCAGAGTCAATACATAATACCCCAAACAAAAAGATAAAATAAAATCTTATTCATTTCGTTATTTAAATGTAACAAAATCTCACTGGCTCAAGGGTTGACCAGCAAATTGCAGAGAATGGAACATCCCGAGAAAGCTGTGCTCCAAGGCCAGTCCACCAGAGGCGGTATTTATGTACTGTTCAATAAAATGTAATCAGAGTAATTACTAATTGGGGCCACCAAAAGACACATATCATACAGAGCAACATAAACTGCAAACTTGGTCATTCATCAAAGAAAAGAGAAGTGATCGTAAACATACATTAACCCGGAAGCTAAACTGAGAAAGGTAAATTAAAGAAAGATGAAAAGAGTACACTTACAGCTTTGAAGAATACTGGTGCCCTTGACTGGGTGGATGACTCCAAGCAATGTCTTCCACACCCCTGGAGGCTTGCCACTTTGGGTTTCTCTAAATGCCTAAAACACGAGAAAACATGTAAGAAAAATGGCAATTCAACCCAAAAAAGAAATAGCAACTGAGCAAACAAGTTTCTTTAGAGAAGCAGTTATAAGGTAACCATGGCAAATTATGCAATGCATCCAAAACTTAGCCCACAATTTTTACCTGCATGCGAGTCCTTGCAAGTTCTACAGGATAACAAGAAATGCAAGCCAAGGAACGTGCAGTTGATCCCGCAACTAATGGAACGTAAGGTGTTAAATTTGGAGCATTCCGAGTTGTAAACTCCTCCATCATGTTGCGGAAAATATCATAACAAGGCATGTAGATTCCAACCTATTTGTCAGCAAAAACACAGGACCATAAGTACATAACTATATCTGAGAGAATGACCAGTATAACCTCTAAATTAAACCATAAAGCATGAAATAAAAATTTCCAGACTGGAAAAAGAGCTTACGGTTGGCACAGCCAATGCTAAACTTGCATTAGTGCCTCTCCACAATCTTACAAAGCCTTCCTGCAAAATTCACTCCTGTGAACCCTCTTATAGTAAGTTATTAGGGTGTGAAGGGGAAAAAACAATTAAATGGCTACAAAAGCACATCTACCAGATGAATGCTTCAAAAATTACCACCTACCACATTTGTGAAACATGACTTAATGCAAAGTATTACTGTATGAGAAAAGAATCCACTAGACTGAACGACTCACATACAGAACTTTCGTTATCTTCACATCACTTGAGAGAGAACAAAAAACAACTGTGTAAAAGCTTGTTAACGTATTTTAAAACACTAACCTGACGTATAACTTTGTAGAGGACATCTAGCGCCCCTTTATAGCGGTTACATTCCGAAGGACATGGCGGTGCTGGGTCAGACCCAGAAACTGCATGCAAACCAGGACATCGTAGCATCTGAAAACAAATAAACAAAGAACAAACCTCGTAATGCAAAGCTAATTTCAGTTATAGTGAATAAAAACACTGAAGGAGCATTACCGTGTTTGTTTGAATCGAACAAATACCATGGTAGGGAACACCGGCAGCCTGTGCTTGAAGTCTTGTCTGAAAGCAGAGTAACCCGTGACGTGGCGATGACAATTCATTCACAAACGTAAATTCACCAACAAAAACAACGGATAGAAGTCTACCTTGGCGACATCGAGGGGATTAACGATGATGGCAGAGAGAACAGCGGCGCCGGCGGCGGAAAAAGCCCGTTCTCCAATACTCAATTGCGTATCGGAATTGGATTGTGTTGGTGACATTGGAGAAACGTTTCCTTCGGAATCAACATTCGTAGCGGCGGAACAATTGTTTAGGTTTACGTTTCGGAGGGAAAGGGATTCGTGGCGTGGAATTGAGGGCGCCAAACAATTCGCATGTGTTCTCAGCCTGAGCTCTGAGGTGTATAGTTTGGACTTGGACTCAACCCCATTCCCATCAGAATATTAATATCCATACCCACCCAAACAAGTTCATTTTTTTAATCCTGGATAGGATATTCGAGAAAGCATCGAATCACGTTAGTAATTAAGATATTCTTTTTCCGTAATGTTTTTATGTTTCGTACCAATTTGATATCTCTTTTGTAATTATAAACATATTATGATTAGTCTTTTTTATGCATATTAAGCAGTTAAATATTGCGAAATAAAATTTTTCTTACACATTTACGTGGTTTTCACCATTTAATTACATTTGTTACACACTTGTATTCTAAATATTGTCACCTATATATCCTTAACACACATAATATGTGAATCAAGCATTGTAACTTCAGGTAAAAAATGGTATGTATTAAAAGATACAGACAACGTGTGCTAAAAACTAAATAATAAATATACTATTATTGATATTTAAATTAGGAAAAAAATATAATTATAAATCTTAGAGTAAATGTTCAATTTCATTTTTTAAAAATAATAAACCTAATTTAATTCTTAAAGAAAAAAAAAAAGACAATAATTAGTCTCTCAGAATTACAAACATGAAACACTTTATAATCCTTTCATCTATTTGAGTTATTATTTCATGAGTTTCCTATAAACTAAATTGGTGGATGACTCACTTTTCTTAGGAAGTAATTATATACTAAAAACAGAAGAAAAATTACTAAAGAATTAAATTATCTTGTATTTATAATATCAAAGAATTTAAGTATCCGACTTGTTTTTTTTCAGGACCATATTAAGATTCAGTAGTGGTTTTAAAGAAACAAAATAAATATTTATTCTAAATTCTCTCTTTCTCTTATGCACCTCTCCCAATCCCTTCCCCATCTCACTCCATAAAAAAATTTCATACTCTGTTAAAAATTATTTTTATGATTAATCTTCTATTATTTAAATAAATTCATTATTTAAATGATATTTTAATGGATGTGGAAATCAATTTTATAATTAGTAAATATTGAATATCACGTAGTTATATTAAATATGTGATATACGCAAATGCAGTCTCCTTGTGAAAAATTGAGTTAAACTAATGAGACTCTTCATAAAGAAATATATTTCTTATCTATCTTTTCTATAAATTAATGTTAGGAATCATACGATTATTAACTGTTGCATAATTATTTAATTATCAAGAAATATGCTTCTTATTTTTTCTAATTTAATATTAATTTAACTGTTTTTCAAATTCATACAACCACGATATATTATGTTGTTGTTCTATGAATATGATACATTTTATAGATTTCCAGCGTTGTTGACAGACACAATAGCTATTTTTTATGTAAGCACTGTTTAATCCTTTCGAAAAGCTATTAACTTGTTAGGCACCGGGCCGAATATTGTAAACCATCATAAAAAGAATAATAATCTGTTGACATCCATTAAAATTTTATCAATAACTAAAATTAAAATTAGTGATTTTATAAAGATTGAAAATGTATTTAATCTAAAATTTAATAGTTTAATTTTTTAACGTTTATCGTCTCCAAAATACAAATTAACGTTTAGCGAAAGAAAGAAAGAATAGAAACGAACGTAAGAAGGTTTGTCGTTTGTATCTGAAATTGAACGTTTCGTGGTCGAGATTTGATTGAGTGGGGCAGGGGAGCAAAGCCTGCGTTGCACAGAAAACGCGATGCGAAACAACGCTGGAAGTTGTCGTACACAGGTGAGGTAGACTGCATTCTGCATCCCTCTGTTGTCATTGGAACACAGTCAAAGTGAGACCCTCTTCATTAATCAGGTGTCGTTTATACCCTTTGGTTGCACGACACTGAAATGAGTCTCGTTTTCAATCTTTCACACAGAAAGTTCGATCAGTTCTATGGACCTTTCATTCATTGCTCTGCTTTCATTCTTCCACCCTTTATGAAACGGTCCCCTCCCCCCTTCTTGTAAGTATGTCTTGTCTAATTGTCTAAGATTAGCTTATAGGTTTAAATAAGTTATTTATTATTAAAAAGTTATATTTTTTATTTAATTTTTACGTAGTTTTGTTTCATTCCATGCTTTTCTATAAACATGCTGCCGCACATTCCTGAATTGCTCCTCGTGTAAAGGTTTAATCTAATAATCACAAGCCTCGTGATTAATAAATTTCATGACAACACTTGTAACAGCATCAAGAGACATCACTGCACGCAGATTACACATGATAAGTAAAACAAGTTCAAAACTTGTATTAGAATTTCTAGGACTTGTTTAGTTACATTCAAATAACAGGCACATTTATTTCGTGCCTAACATTTATTTCAGAGCATGAAACATAAATACAATCTTAAAAAAAAAAAAAAATTATATCATTCTGTAACAAATAGTTGACAATTAAAGATGCTATAACCGAACCCCATAACGATATATAATACATATTTGGGCTTTTTTATTCAAATATTATAAAATTAAAAATAAATTCTTAATTTATTATTTTTTTAAACTATTTTGCAGTGTATTAGTCTGTGTCGCAATAGTTTTGCCAAAATAGTTGACAAAATATTAAAATTTTTAAAATAAATTTCACTATAAAAAATGTAAAATTATCAGATTTTGACATGTGTCAATATTAACGTAATTTCACAATATGATTAATGAAATTAAATATTAGATTCATTATACATAGCGCAAAACTACAGGGTCACAATCTGAGTGAATTTTGTTATAAAAATTGCATAACTTGTAGGAATCTAAGCATAATTTTGGCCTGTTATATAAATTTACTTTCATTAATTTTAATAACATAATCAAACAAAATCTAATTTAGATTTATGTATAAATCATTACCATATTTAAAATAAAAATTAAATTACTAATATGATATTGTAAAATATTTTTTTATACATACAAATTTAAATTACTTCTTAATTAAATAAATTTAAATCACTAATATAATTAAAATTTTTATCATTAAATATCAATTATGATTACATTGAAATTAAAAAATAAATTACTAACATAATATAAGAAAATATTTTTTATATTTACATACAAATTACTATTAATTCTTCATTAAAAAATCTAAAATACTAACATAATTACAATAAAGAATTTTGTTGATTTTTTTTATTTAAAGAATATTTGTAATGTATATTTTTTTTGGGCCAGAGAAAATAAATTTTAATTTTTAAAAAGGGTTTAATAAAATTCTTTATTGTAATTACGTTAATAATTTATACTTCTTTTTAACAAAGAATTAATAGTTATTTGTATATAAATATAAAAAAGATTTTCTTATATTATGTTAGTAATTTATTTATTTTTAATTTCAATGTAATCATAATTGGTATGTAATGATAAAAATTTTAATTATATTAGTGATTTAAATTTATTTAATTAAGATATAATTTGAATTTGTATAAAAATAAGAAAAATTCTAGTATTATGTTAGTAATTTTATTTTTATTTTAAATATAGTAATAATTTGTATATAAATTTAAATTAGATTTTATTTAATTATGTTATTAAAATTAATAAAATTATATTCACACAATAGGTTAAAATTGTACCACATATCAGATCCTGCAAGCTGTATAATTTTTATGATAAAATTTACTCATATTGTAACATGTGTCACCATATGAGAAATTTGCAATATGTATAGCGAAAATAGCATTTAATTTCGCCAATCATATTATGAAATTATGTTGATAATGACATATATCACAATCGGGTTATTTTGCATTTCTGGTGACAAAATTTATTTTTTTAAAAAATAAAAATTTAACATTTTCATTAACTATTTTAGTAAAACTATTGTCCCATGAAATGATACATTCCAAATAGGGAAATAGTTTCAAAAAAATAATAAATTAAGAAATTAATTTTAATTTTGCAATAAATAAAAAAGCCACATATTTGTCTAATGAATTGAAGAACAATATTATCATGGTCAACGCCAAGGACCCTGAGACCTGGGAATTCAATTGACAGGAACCACCATGTATTTAGTGGGAAATTTGGCTATTGCTTAACAGTCTGTGACCTTTGGAATGAATGTAATCAAGAAAGCATTTGAAACAAATAGAATTGTTTGTTTGTTGTGTATTGGTAGTTAGAATTAGTATTTCTATTTCAATTTCAAAGATACCCCTGTCTTGTCTACCTTAAATAAAAATTTAACATATTGTACAAACCATATAGCAGAAACTAACAAGTTTCATGAGTTGCAAGAATAATTTAAATTTTAAATGAATTATCTAATTTACATAGTTTGAATAAAGTAATAGATTTAAAACATCATCAAATCAATAAGTAAATAGAATAACGTTCATTATTCCTGAGAGCAATAAATCATTAATTTCTTGAAAAAATTAACAAAAATATCAAATCCCTTCTTTATAATATAAAATGGTCAATATTAATGCAATTTCATTTGTATTACATCATTTTATAAATAAAAATATTTATAAATAATAATGAAATTAAAAAATTAATTATCCTATTTTTTAAAAAGATAAATAAAATTAAATATAAAAATTTATAATTATTTAGAATGTATAATTATTAAACTTTAAGTTTTGATCCAATAATTAATTGTATTCTTATCATTTATTTTATATTTATTAGCTAATTTAACAATAAATTTTCCGAACATTTAAATTTAATCAACTAGTTTGTTGATTTTCAGTTGGCTTCTATTTTACAGCTACACTATTCACTGATTTTATTAAACACGTAGGTTGTATCAATAATAATTAGAGAAAAAAGGGTTTGAAAATTTAATTAAGGAGGAGTAATCTAATAAAATTCATGATTGAATTAATTTAGAAATTGAGGTATTTAATACCATCAACGCTTTGAAAAGCATTTTATTTCACTACTTTTAATATTATTTATTTCTAATATTATTACTTCAATTTAATTTAAAATATTGATATCATTTTAAATTGAAAATATTTTCTTTTTTAAATAAAACTGATTTTTTAGATGATTTTAATATCAATGAATCCTGATTTTAAATTTAGATTTTAAATTTAACACGTCAATAAAAATAAAAATAATGTATCTTGATTCAAATAATTTTTTATAATTTATTTAATTTTAAATACATTTTTAAATTACATAATCTAAAAAATATATACTTAGCTTTGTAAAGGATCGTTAATCTCCAAAAATGTTTTTGTTTGAGAATACTTCTATAAACAATACTCTCATTTAAAAATACTATTTCTATACAGGAAAAATTACTAATTATTTTTATTTTAATTTTCCTGTTTAGTTTTTTTTTTTTAACTCAAAACTCGAATTTCAAACTCGACCACCCGTTTTTTGTTTTTTCATCTTTACTTTCATTTGTATTAGATTTTATTTTTAAAAAACAGAAAACTATTTCTAAAATAGAAATCAAATATACTCAGATCTAAAATAGAAATCAGAACTATTTATTTAAAAAAATTAAATGAATTATCTCATGGAATACATATAGTTATATTAGAAAAACACATTTTTATTGAATAAAAATTCACCTCAATTGGTTGTAAAACGCACTAATTAAATTTGATTAAAAAATTAATTTAGTAAACTGATTAGTTTACCATATTATAGTTTTGTACGTAAACATAAATATTTAATTATGTTTGCTCGTGGAATTAGTGTTAGTGAGTCCATTACTATCTTGTCTAGCAACCTTTACTACCTATTTCTTCTGGGCACATCACTGTTCGTGAAATCTTAATATTTTCATAAAACACTTGTTAGGTAGAAAATTATAAAATCCCAAAATTGTAGAGACAAAGGTCTGTCTTTCTAGAATTTATTGGAATCCTAGGAAGAAAATTTGGGTGCATTTAGACAAATGATTGAATATAATATTTATTAAATAAAATTTTACTAATGAAATATATATTCAGTATGTTTAAATAAAATTTATAATTATTAATTTTTGCACATGTTCCTTTATGTTATACTTTTAACAATACTAACATAGCTTTTTGAGTTTTCTTTAAAAAGATTACATAATAATTATGGAGCATGAAATCATGATCAAGGTATTCTGAGTTTAATTTCCATCTTGGAAAACAAGTTGACAAGAGAAAGGGTTGGAAGTTCACTCCATGTAAAGGAAAGGGTTGTGGAGCAATTCTATTGTAAATTATAAATTTATGGGTACAGTAAAAGGTGTTCAGAAAAGGACCAATGACAGCCTTGCATTGCATGAGTATCAACCTTTGTGGACAGGAGCATGCAACTTGCTCTGCCCACATTTAAATCAAATTCCTTCACATACACACAAGCATCAAGACAAACAAAAAAGTCTGTCCCACCCTTAACCCATTTGCTTGTAAAATGTTGACCAAACCTATAACCAGAGTCCATTGAAGAAGCATGCTGGGATTTTACCATAAAAGCATTCTCTAGGACCCTCCCCTTAGCCCACCCTTCCCAAGAGGCCAAGATGTTTATTTGTTTCAAGATATCAAGAAATTTTAGAGCCTTGGACAGAGAGCAAACACCACTCAATAGTCAAGGCAGTAGTATAGTCTGTTATGTTCCAGTGTTTCTACTCCCTAATGAAGGATGGGTCAATGTCTGTGGGTCCAAGTGATTCATCCTTAGTACCCAAAATCTTTGTGTGCCAAGTTGGTTTGATTCATTATAGACCTTTTGTGTCTAGGTGGTTCCCTACTACATTCCATACTCAGTCTTTTGAAAAGATCATGGGAATTCTCTATCTGGACCTCATGCCGTGACATATATGATATTTCTTTTATGGTAAAAGATGTATATGATTTTCTTTTATGACCTATAAAATATATTATTTGACAAAAGGTCAAATAATAAATCACTTGCCTTATATAATCCATGCATTTTCCATTTGAGGCGTAGGGCAATATTTTTCTTTTCTCTTTACAAAAGAGAGGTCTTACCTCAAAAAGCATGACTAACCAAGATGTTGTATGTGCATGGGGTCATGCGACCATTGAACACGACACAGCTTAGTGCATGATTGGCAGCTTTTTAGCCCGCGCCTAAAGCATGTCATTGGCCTTAAAAATATAAAATATACTCATACAATACACAAACAATTCATTCAAATAAGAGAGAAATGTGAAACAAAATATATTAAGTTATTTATATTGTTGTATGTTATATGAATATTGTATCTCAAAAGTTAATGTCAAGAAGAGAGCCAAAACTGAAAATCACAATCTCCAAAATTCACTAACATTACCATAATCTGTTACAAAACAAAAATGGAAGCACAAACACACACATACTCTCTCCAGTCTTTACACACTTCAGGTAGTTTAATTTGGCGTCTCATTGCAGGGGTAGGGGATCTTAGAAGTAATTATCTATGTCCCAATTGCACGATTCAAAATCCCCATTGAGATGACAAGAAACATCACTGAAATTGTCATTTAAAAAAAAATGAGTTACACTAGTTTCATTAAGAGATACCGGAGGATCATGAGTTTCAAAATTCAAATAACAATCAGTGGACACTGAATCTAAAAACAAAAAACCATCTTGCGAACTTGGGTCTTCTTTGATCACACCCTTTGTTTCAAAAACCTCCAACACAGGTTCAACAAACTTGAACCCAAACACAGACTTGGGTGAAGGCAAATGAGACTGATCTTTACCTGAATCATTCTCACAACTCACACTTTCAACCTCACTCTTCACCTTAGTACCTTTAAATTCTCTAGAGACATAATCATCAAAAGCAACATTTGTGTCAATGTCCATATCAAAACCTTGTGTTGGGAGAACATATTCATTCCCCGGAGGCTTGATGAAATTGGTAAGAGCATTGGAGCCTCTAAAGTTAATAGCTGCTTTATCATAAACCATTGCAGCCTCTTCAGCAGTGTCATAGGTTCCAAGCCACACCCTTGTCCTCTTCACAGGATCTCTGATTTCTGCAGCCCATCTTCCCCATGGCCTTCGACGAACACCTCTAAGCTTCTTCTTTCCAATACTCTTTTCTTCGGTTCTTCTCTTAAAATGCTCTTCCACTGATACATTACTATTACCTATTCTGATCTCATTCACAATCTTCTTCATTCTGGGTTTGTGAACCAACCCATGATGTTCATCTTCATCGTCTGTGGCGTAAGGATCCATCACTGAAATCCGAACTACCTTTGGTGTTGGTGGGGTGTTGAAAGGGGCAAGCTTGTGAGTGAAAACTTTATGCTCAATGAAGCTGGGTTCCATGGACCACAAAGAGAAGCATGGGAAGGAGAAGAACATATACAAGTAGGAGTGTGTAGAACTGTCACCGTGGACAACTGTTTTTATGGTACTCGCTCACTTCTGTGCTCTGAATTTTCGTAATTAGTTATCGATTACTGATTACGATTAGATTTTTATTTTATTTTCTTCAAAACTTTCTATAGTTATTTTAGCAATTTTTATTTTTAGAAAGCACCATTTAAGGAACTTTTTTTTTATTGGTCAATTCAAGGATGTTAATTAGTAACAAATATTGAGTTTGGAATAGCGTGAGAAGAATCTTTATCTGTTTTGTTGCTACTTTTTTTTTTTTAAAAAAAAGTTGAATTTGGATTTGTTTTTTGATTATATTTTACAGTTTATAATTAATTATATCAAAATCTTCTTTAATTTTAGAAAATGAAGGATAAGATTTGATGATACAAAACGTTATAATACAGGTTTTAATAAATCTTATATAATATTCTACAACATTTGTGTGACACTATATATGATTTTCTATTTTAAAAGAATATTATATTATATTTTGTACAGTAATATCTTATATAAGATGATACACTATATAATATTATTTGATAGGATAAAACATCTGTTAAAAATTCTATTACTTATTGACGTTGAATAAAAAAGGCCTTCCTTAAAAGTATACTAATTATCCTTTTAAAGAAAAATCATAAACAAAATTCACGATCATCTACCTCCATATATAACTTATAAATACTAATTATTAAATAAAATCATTATTTAGAATATTATCAAATAAATTTTCATAGGAATTAGTTGATTTTTTAAAATGCTAAATTATGTTATAATTATATATATATATATATTATTTTATATTGATTTAAATTTTTAAATAATAATTATTTATTATTTTGATTTTTTAATAGAATAAAATACTTAATATTAATAATTACAGTATTTATTTTTTTTAAATTATAAACTTTATTAAATTTAAAATAATCATACAACATAATAATAATAATAATTTGTTTAAAATTTTATTTTAATTTAATACTACTAATGTAGTAGACAGAAAAATTATTAGTTGCGTGTACATTCAATAATAATAAAAAAAAAATTGATGTACTTATATAAATTAACAAATCTTAGTAAAACTCTAGATCCAATAACTGGAGACAAATTTATTTTAAAATTTAAAATTATTTATATAAGTGTGCATTTTATTAAAATGATCTTTTTTTTTATGCATTACCATATTATTTTGTAATGCGCATGTGCGTACATAGATAAGTGAGTATTATAAAATTTGATTACATTCTTATAGTTGTTTAGTTTTAATAAAATTTGACACAAATAATCAAGGTAATATATAATTATATTAATCAATAAAAAATATATTTTATGTTAATTTACAGTAAAAGAATATTAGATTTGTGTAGTTTGATCTTCTACATATATATAATTTAATTGAGTTCTCAACTTTTATTTTTTATTTATTAAAAATGTTAATTATAAAAAAAGTATACTTAAGTTTATAATAAAATCATTTTATGTTAGGAGATTTAAAATATTAATTTCTCAAAATAGAATAATATATTTAGGTTTGCAATTAAAAGTTTTTCTTTTTTCTTTTTTGCTAAGATTAAAAGTTTTTCTTTCATAAAGTTATTCATCAAAACTTAATTAAGCCTAATGTTATTTTAGGCTTGATTAAATTATCCATCATTGTGATTATTATTATTTGATGGGTAAGAGAGGATCGATGGATAAGATGCAATACTTGCACTAAACAACTAATAAACTTGCAATGTCTTGTATTAAATTATTCTATCATATCTAATAGTGTGCCATACAAGTTTTTTTTTTTTTAAAGTAAATTAGGTAAACATCTTAATTCATAAAAAATAGTTACATTGATTTAGTTTTAAAAATACATGAAATGTAGTAACATTATATTAGTCCTTTGGTCGAGAAAAAAAAATTATTTTCTTTGTAGAACATACTCGCTTAGTAATTATCCCTCTTAGTTTGACAAACTTTTCTTATTTTCATTCAAAATAAAATTAAAAGGTAACCATACACACCAAGTGTCATAATTTTAATGAAAAGAATATATATTCCTAACACACCAAAATCAAAAATAAAAAAATTTCTTTATTCATTCTTGATTTGTTTTTTATCTACCGTCATTCTTATTAAAATACAGTTAAATAGAAAACACAGATGTCTTAAATAAAGCTAAAATCAACACTAACCTTTGTTATTAAAATTGATCTATGTTTTTTTCTAAATGAGAAAGCCTTAAACCAATCTCCAAATTTCCTATAATTTACAAGTCAAACAAAAAAAAGGAGCAAACCTCACTCTCCTAGACGCCGAATGATGAGTAATTCATTTATGTGTAAAGAAAAGGTTCACAAAAAATATAAAAATGCACAACTAAATGATAACATTATGCTGGCATATATTGTTGAAACTTGTTGTGCACGAAAATAAATGCACAATATTTTTGTAGTGTTCAATCTTGTAGGATAATTTTCGGGTTACATTATCTCTCAATATATGGATGAGAGAAATGTTTATAATAATTTTTTAAAATACATATTTTTTATTTATTAAAATTCATGAAAACATATAGATCACATTCTTAATTTTAATATTTTTTTAAAAAAATATTAACTGATAGTTAATGATATCTTTTTGAAATATATAATTCTATTATCATTCTTGATACTATCAAAGGTTGAAAAAAATAAACAAATATAAATAAAAATTTTAGATCGAGTATAAAAAATTTTAAATTTATAATAGTGTGATATTTTTTTTTTCAAAAAAACATAATGCATAAATATATTGAAATGGACACTTATAGTTATTTTTACTCCCTCCTACTATAAATGATTGCATAATATTTCAAGAATTTAGTATGGTTCACATATTTTATGTTATTACTTCCTCGCACATTTCAATTAGTAACTAAGACTACCCTTTTGCTGGGTTGACATTGCAGTAGCACAGTGGGAGAATAAGTTAGTCCACCAACAAATGACGAATAAAAATAACCACAGAATTATGAAAACTCAGAATCAGCATAGAATTATAAATAAGTGGGAACACTGAACAACATCATCAGCTACAGATGTTTCCCAGCACTCACAGTAGAATATTCATACAAACAAACTAAAAACCCCTATTGTTTCATTTCACTGATAGAAACCTATCCTCAATATGTCAAGGGCAGGAATGAAAAGATAGATTATACATTAATGTGACTCTTTTAGCAAATGGAAGGAACAGGTTCTTTCCTATAATATAATGCTTTATTTCAACATGGCAACATGCTAGCCCATTGCATACTTCTGAGTCCAGCTCCGAGCAGTTGTCTCATACTTGGACCTGTCTGTCTTGTACATATGAGCAATTTCAGGCACCAAGGGATCATCTGGGTTCGGATCCGTCAATAGGGAACAAATGGAGAGCAACACCTGAAAAAGGAAACAGAAAACCTTCCCACCCACTTAAAAAACAGCAAATAATCCAAGAGAAACAGTAACCATATTACAAGCTTAGGATCTTTAAGGCGCAACACATGGGTGCAACGTATGGATATCACATTTGCATCAGTAAATACCTCTTAAAAATATTGATTTGAGTTCATTGTCGAAGCAAAAATGAAAAGCAAACCTTAGAAGGAAACAGAGAGCTATCTTAAGGTTCTATTTGACAGAGCTTAAGGATGGCTTATAGAAAGTGCTTACGATTTTCATAAGTTTTTTCCAACTTATTTTAATAAATTTTATAATTAAATTTATGGCGTAAGTCATCATTTAAAAATAACTTTGTATATATATAGTAGTAAGAAGACCCAAGATATTTCATAGCACACCTATCCATCAATATTCTGCTTTATGAAAGGCAGCAGCATCCTCATATAGACCATAAGTTTGTCACCTTGTATTAATGATGCTAAAAACTTAATGTTTGGAATTGACTATTTGTTATTTTTTTTATTATTTGCCTTCATAGAAATATTGCACTATGCTCATAAGCATTGTTGATGTATTGCAAAATTTTCTTTCCAACACAAGTGGTGCCCAATAAAGGTTTGTTGCAAAAGGTTTAGTACAGTATCATAACCTTAGATATAGTCAAAGCAGGGCTCCACTGCTCCTTTAAGATATCGAGACAAATACTACCATTGCTGTTGATATTCGGGTGAAAAACTTTAGTCCTAAATGCGACCTGCAAGGAGAAAGGTAGATAAGCAGAAAAAGAAAGGTTAAAATTTTGAACAAATGGTTCCTTGAGGACCTAGAAAGATAAGGCTTGTTTATTGTTGTCGATGCCTTAAGGTGAATTGGGAGTCACGTAACACAAGTCAGTTGTTAGAAAAACTCTTCATTTTCTGGAACAAAAGACGTTAACAACTACCTACTGAATAAATGATTCAGATCTGAATTCTCAAATGTCAAATAGAAAGTTCTCATTCAAATTAGTTAGGTTTTGACGAGAAGACTTCTTTTATTCTGTATATGTTTTTATAATAGGTGCAAACTTCTAGTGATCTTTTAAATAGTTTGTAGGTAAAGTTCAAGCAAGGATACCAACCCTCAGCGACAGTGGCCACTGTAAATTCATTTGCATACACCACTACTCATGGTGAACTTGGATAAGTAAAGTAGGAAGTTTATGATTGTTGATGGAAAAATCAATGGTTAAGATTTATATAATATCGAAGAACATGGATAACAAATGATGAACACACAAGAATAACCCTCTTCATTATCTCACCAGCAGTTACTAATTACACTTTACGCTTTACTCTCTGTTATAGAGTCTACCCCAAAATATTTAAAGGATCCAGATCTCACTGGTGATCAATGAGTCTTCCCAATCAAACAAACAAGAATAGGCTCTTCCAACATCTCTTTCCCCAAGAGCTGTGGCTGCTTTAAAACCAAAAATTTGGTCTTGAAGTTAACATTACTCACTATTCCAACTCCTTGGTCCCCTCACTACGCAAATACCAAAACAATAAGCAAAAATCCAGTATTCTTCAAGAATAAGTAACAAAGGCAGAATTGTTGAAATTGAATTGAGAAGGGCAAAGCCAATACCTTGGGTGGCTTGAATGGATAATCAGGAGGAAAATGAATGGTGACTAGGAAAACACCCCCAGCATAAGGGCTATCAGGGGGGCCCATTATAGTTGCTTGCCAATGAAACATATCTTCTGCTACAGGACCTGCGAAGTTCATAAACACAAGAAAATAACAAACTTAACATCCGATTACAAATTACAAAATCAGAAAAATATTGTATAACATGCAAAAAACCAAATCATAAAACTTTAAATAAAATTTTCAAATATGTACTGGATCACAATTTACACCTGCTTGTTTCATAAATACATTCTTACAACTCAGAAATTTAATAAACATTATAGAAAGATAATATCAGCCAAATATAATCTTAAAGTAAGAGTTATCTTCGAAGGCATGCATTTAATCGGATTCCCCAACCAAGACAGGGATAATCACAACAATACATGATAATTGTTACAAAATAAACTAGCATCTAGCAACAGATACAACAAAATCCAGACAAACCCCTGAAACAACGAGGAGGGAAAAAATAACCCACATACATGTTGATTCCAAAACTCATAGATCGAGTAACGTAGGTAGCTGAATTAGAGTTTGGAGCAGATAAAAGGCAGAAAAGGGGGCAAAAAGAAGAGGAATTTGGTGAAGGAAAATGTACCGGCACTGCAAGAGGTTGGAGGGTCTTTCTGGAGGTCCTTGAGCTCCTTGAGGATCCGCTTGGAAGCCATGGAAGAGGAGAAGAAGATTCCCTTTGGATCTACAAGGATAAGAGAAAGTTGCAGAGAGAGATTCAACGAAATAAACGAGGATGGAAGAAAGGAACAGAATGACTATGTAAGGAAAGGAGAGGAAAGAGACATTAATGTAAATGTAAATTTCAAATCACCATCCATTTTTACCAATTTTAGGCAGAGAAAACATGGACCAATATTATTCTTCTTTCCTATTTTTTTTTCCTTATTATTAGAGTAAATTAATTAACTTTTCTTTTATTTTATATTTTTACGCAATTTTTTTCATTTAAATCTCGTAAGAAATTTCATTCATGTAATAGTTTTAAATTCAAAATCTTACATATAATTGATAAAAATACCTTTATTATAAACTTTAACTCATTTGACAAAATATTTGTATTTATTAACTATAGCACAAATTTTCTTTTATTTTATAAGTTTGTTATTATTAAATTCTTCTACAAGACTAAAAGTTATAAAATTCTTAAAGTCTTAAACAAAAAAATTACAATTATGATAAAACAATACAATAGCATTAATAATAAATATTTTATATTTTTTAAAATAATAATGATTAATTAATAATTATAAAAATTAATTAAAAACATTAATGATTAAATTAATAAATATAAATTTATATTCTATTATTTAATTCTTAAAAATATTTTAAAAAACTCACTTATCTTATTAATAATTCATGTAATTATGCTTTATTGAATAATTTACTAAAAAAAATAAAATAATATTTATTTCTTTAAAAATACAAAATTATAAAATTTATTATTTATTTTCTCATATTGTTCTAATATTGTCTTTAAAATTTTATTATTTAAGTATTCAATAATTTTAAAAAATAACTAGATAGGAAAATTTTAATTGTAATATATAAAAAAATAAAAAAGATTGTTGTTTTAAGAAATGGGAAAAAATTGTATAAGGTTTAAAAAAATCGTAAAATACTAAAATATATAAAGATTAAAGTAATTATTATTGTGATGATGGGTGCACGACCAGAACTTTAAAGTTTCGTATTAACTTGATGAGAGAGAACCTGCAATCACCACCAACAGAACTCGTTGCCTGGTTTATGAAAACACAAATATTAAGGATGATTACAAGTTTTGTCCTCTTTATCTAAAATAGAAAGTCATCAACTCCAATGAATATCATGCAAGAGAAATGCTAATTAGTTCAACAGTCAATTATCTTATTGTAAATATGGTCATTGCTTTGTATGGTGGGTTCATGCATAGCCTATTTTGCTTTTGCTTAAATTCACTGACGTGGATTTTCTTTTTCTTTCTCAAATTCGGGATCTGAATGCTTAAACTACAGCCATTTTTGACTTTGTATCATGTGGTTGAGGTTCAATATCGCTATCCCAACCAAATCTTGTTTTTCCACTAGATTTATATCCAAAAGCATAAGTCAATATTGTAGCAAGTTAAGTGTTTAATTTTCTGAAAATTGGAAGATTAAGAAAGTGAGAGAAGAACAAAACAGCTAATTTAAAGAAATACAAGTTGCAACAACGCATTGCCGTGGGTGTGTGGTGTGGAATCGTAGTTCATATATCCATTATGAGAATGGTAAAAGGGTCCAATCAGCGAAAACTACTGGCAAACTATGAACTATGAAGGAAAGGAAAATATCGATGATAAACATGCACCCCTTTATATGTTTACAGGGAGTCAAATGGATTAGACCTCTAGATTAGTGTTGTGCGTGTTTGTCTTTTAATCTTTTATTATTATTTTTTAAATTTCCGTTTAGTGTTTGATTTAATTTTTTTTGTCTATTATAAATTTGTTGTTTATCTTAACTTCTTTTAATCTCATTTTACACTAATATTTAGTGTATTATTTTAAGGGTTTAGGGTTTGTTATTCATGAACATGTAAATTTAGGAACATGATATTGTTATTTTTGCTATTTTAAAAAATTATTCCTTAATATGATTTATATATGAATAAAACTTAAATCAAGTTCTTTATATTATTCATATCAAGCTCTCTGATTAAATAATAGCATGTGGACATTTATTTAAAAATTTGTAAAAAAATTTGTGGAAGTTATTTATATTGGAAAGAACATTCACCTATCATGATTTCGATGGAGAACTTTAAATTAAAGATATATAAAACTTGATCTAAGTTTCGTCCATTTTTATTCCTAAAAAAGTTAGATTTAAAAAATTTAATTATTGTTTGATTTCAGAAAACATTTTTTATTTCATTTTTAATCACATTTTTATCATATTTTAATTAGTTTTCTTTCTTTTAAAGATTCATATAGAAAATGGTAAAAATATTTTTTGTTTAGAAACAAGGAAAATTATTTTCTAACTCAACTATAACTTCAGTTTTGTCTCTTTTCTTGTAATTATATTGAATTTTAATTTTTGTAAAAGAATATTATATAACATAATCACGTGTGGGTTAAGCTTAGAGTATTTCTAACATGTTTGAATTAATAGTAACAATGAAATCGTGCTTATGTGAGTTAATTTAATCCAAGTGTTATGAATCTATACGAATAGAATTATTTTTGCCCGTTTTGAAGCTGTATCTCGAAGGTGAAAGGAAATCGTTTACTTAATCTAGCTTTCTGGTTTGCTTAAAGGCAAATGATACATACATTATAGAATTAGAGATTTACAAAAGCTATTTCTTCAAGGCTAATCTCAAACAATTGACATAATTAATATTCGAATACATGAAATTTGTCTATTATACACCACATGCTTATAGAGTGCAATGCTTCTGATCCATGACAAGGAAAACCAAAACCTCATTGTTACTTTACAAAGAATCAAATAGAGACAATGTAGCAGACCTAACATCTTTCTCTTCCTAACCACTGGCCATTTCTTTCATAAGGTAGCCTTGGCCCTTAAGTTCTCTTTCCACCATAGTTTGCCAATGAGAATGATATGTTACACCTTAAAAAGTTACCACAACTTATTCAATTTTCCCCTTGATGTCTGATTTATGTATTTTTGAAAATCACATCGTAGTCAAATAATAAGGGAAAAGAAGAAACAACTGAGTTCCTTGACTAATCCAAGGGTGCCCAACCAGATTTTCCTATTTGAAAGTGAAGACATAGTATAATATTTTTCTCGAGTAATTGAGTGAGGATTCCTATCAACACCCACATTAAAAATAAGAAATATTCTGATAAATACAACCTCATGTGTATTGGACTTATATGTGCATCCCACATCACATTTGGGAGAACCGAGCAGCAAGTTGAACTGCTGTAGACGACACTCTTTTCTTTTCCTAAGCAAAGAATATTACATTTATTTTTACATTTTATTCTTCCTTTACTTTTTGAAAAAGAAGAGTGTATAAAAATAATTTAGATACAAAGCCATTATGAGCACAAAATTTTCACCTGTAAATGCCGAGTTGCATCGTCATCAATCCAATATATATAACACATTCCCCAACTCATCGTAGTTTAATCCTGTGGTCCATCAAAAGCAAAGCAACAATTTCAATTAGAATAGTGTGACTAAGAATATATGAAGATCACGAAGACAAGGGACAACATTGCAAGTAAATCCAAAACCCACATTGAGGGTGCCCTACCCCATTACTAATCAAACGAAAAATAAAATTTAAAACTTATGGCATAATTAAAAATCCAAGTGGGTCATTAATTTGGGCTTGTCCTTTTTCTGCACAGTCAATTATGATGCAGGATTCATTACGTAACTTCACCAAGTTAATTACACCATATCCGCGCAATTCACTTCATTAAACAAAACAAAAAGGCACTAATTTCAAGAATAACAATAGCAGTAAACAAGATTCACCTCATTTTCTAAAATCTACTTAAGTAATGTTATATCATTGTACGTACAATATACTACAAACCTTAACACTAAAAAACAACGCACGTAAAACAAAAATGTTTCTGATCCATTAACCGATTTCACTTACTAACATCAAACCAATGCAACAAACAGCAAGAAATTAAGAAACAAGAAATGAACATAGAAGTGAGCAGGATCAGAAGTAAAAGGGTGTGCGTGAATTACCATTTGAGAAGAGTGACGGAGCAACGAGGCGTGTCTCCATTTTGGAGTTGTCTCATGGTGATACCTCCACAAACCACAGTAATGGGAAGCGTCGCCGAATTCCAACCCTGCAAGCCCACACCGGTTCTGGTTCGAACCTGCACTGTGGGGGTCAAAGCTTTGCTCTCCAACACCCCGTTAAGCTTCCTCTTCTGCCTCACATCCAAGGCCTGGTTCCTCACCTTCGTCTCAGCCTTCAACTCCTTCACCTGTTTCTCCTTCACCTTGAACTTAGCTACCTTCGTGGACCCAAGGTTCAGTTCCCCATTCTGCGCTGAAACCTCGAAGCTACTCTGGTCGAAATGCCACGCGATCTTGGCGTTCCGGTTCTTGATTTCGACCCTGGTGGCGGTGTCGGCGTCGAGGTAGGCGGCGTCGCCGTCATTGGTGACGTTGAGCTTGGGGACGCGGAAGGAGCTGAGATGGAACTCCGGGAGGGAGGGGTTGTAGAGGATGTAGAAGAGGCCGGCGGCGATGACGACAGCGAGGATGAGGATAAGGATGATGACGCAGCAGGTGCAGCAGCATATCCGGCAGCAGACCCGTCGGCGTTTGTGTTTGGGGCGGAAGGAAGGTGGGAGGACAGGTTTTCGCGGCGGCAGCGGCGGTGGTCGGGAATTTGGGTCTCTGTAACCGGGTGGTTTCTGTAGCATGGGCTTCTGTGGGGGTGTGGATTCCATGAAGATTAATTAATTGCTTTTTTAATTGGGAAAAAAGAAAAAAGATGGAAATTTGTGTGAATGGGGAAATGGAAGAAGGTTATGAACATAGAATTGAAGAGGGTTTTGTTGTGATGAGAACGGAGATCTAATGAATGTCTGAGAGGAGAAGAGGACAAAATTGTAGAGAGAGAGAGTAATAAGGGGCAGAAAAAGAGGAAGGTGAGAGAGATAGAGATAGAGAGAGAGAGAGAGATTCACGCGCCGCTTTTTGTTTGGTGACATGGCGGGAACTCACTCTGTCTCTGCCCGCAATGCCAACACTCTCACTAACGACCCCACACCACACCGCAATCATTTTTTTTAATAATTATTATTTATTTTCCCATTCTTTACTACCTTTTTTTTGCACCTTGTTCACCCAAATTACACTGCAACTAAATCTAAATTTATCTCCTCTTTATATTTTACTACTATATTTAAATTGCATTTTTTTATGTAATCTTTCATGTAAGAAAGAGCAAGAGCAATGTAATAGACTGTGCAATTAAGGGTGAAGCTACTAATAAATCAATAATTTATAAACTCAAATGCTACATTAAACAATGTTTCAGAAAACTTTACAAAATGCTATAAACTGTGTATTTATTCTTAAACAATGACGTTTTCAAAAAATGTATTTATTATTATACTGTGTAGCTTTTTTGTAATTAAAATTTTTAATTTTTAACAAAAATCATATATATTTTAAAATTAATCAGAATGTATTCACAGTTGGAAAATATTTTATCATTAAATTATAGATCATTGTATCGTTAAAAAATATTAAATTTTATTATATAATTTATTAAAATAAAACTTAATTACAATATTAAAGTATTTTTATACTATTTTTTAATTACAATTAAAATTTTACCTCAATAATATATACAATAAAAATTGATATTCATACTAACATAAATGAAATTTAAATTGTATTTAAAATATTTTCTAATTTTCTAAAGTATTTATAATACTACATTTAAGTTTTAATTTATTTTCTAATGTGTAGCTAATAACATAATAACAACTTATATAGAATAAAATCTTATAAAAAGTGCAACATATCACATAGCATTAATAATATTAATAGTAAAATTTTAAAAATGTTTATTTTTATTTTTTATTAATAAACACATTTTAAAATTATTTATAATTTTTTAAAATATTATATTTACGATAATTTGTAATTAGTTGGCAGAATTTTTTATTAATAATAAATTAAAATTGAACTTATTTTAAAAATGTAATTATATTAATTTGATATAATAAAATTATTATTATCAACAATAAAAAAATAAATTTATAAATTTTATTAAATTTAAAAATAATCATAAATTATCTATACAGAATAAAAAAAATCACTAAATAAAAATAACCTAATTTAGTAAATAGATCTAAGTTAATGGAATAAACTTTTACAGTTGTACTAATTAAATAAGCCTAAAAAACAATTATTTACCTTACCAAATACATTCTTAAAATTTAAAAAATTAGTGGCACAAATTGGGAGAGATGGGACTAAACCCTTGTAATTTTGGCGCCGCGAGAGTGCTGCAGAGGAAGACGATTCAGTTCCTCTTTTACTTCTTCTCTTAATTTCGGTACCTCTCTTTTGTTATGGCTTCTTACTTTGACTGAATTACAGTATTCAAATGTGCGCTAACGAAATAACATTCTTTTTATTCTTCTTCGAAGCTCTTGTTACCGTAGTTTGAGACTGAGGATGGAGTACGTGAGCCCAGAAGGACTTCGCTTGGACGGTCGCCGACCCATGGAGGTACTGCTAATCTCTCTTCTGAGCTGTGCCCTTACCATTTTCTCCCTGATTTTGTGTTTCTTTATGATATCCCAGATGCGACAAATTCGTGCAGAGATTGGTGCTGTATCCAAAGCAGATGGGTAAGTGAATTTTAGTTTATGGGCTTAATTTATTCGTGTCTCTCAAACATTCTAAGTTTCAATGTTTTTGAAAAAATTTAAGCTGTGATTACATTCAAAGCATTTGACCATGGAGTTCTTTCATTTTGAAACTAGTTCTGCCATTTTTGAGATGGGCAATACCAAAGTGATTGCGGCTGTTTATGGCCCTAGAGAGGTACCATTTAATTATTTAGCTTGTTAATTCATAGTTATCCGTGTGGTTTTATTTTGAAGATGGGTAAATATCTTTTGGAGGAGTTAACCAGCTTAAATGTTTTAAAAAGAGAGAGCTTTTGAATTTCCATTTGAGCTTTAGAGGATTTGTTGTTTTTGTCTAGTAACTCCTCTGCATTTCAGGTGCAAAATAGGAGCCAACAAATAAGTGACCAGGCTCTGGTAGTTTTTTTTTTTTTTGTCTTTTAAGTTATCATACATTGGGTTTGTTTTTAGTGTATTTATGTGCATTGTAATGAAAAGTTAATTGCTGTTTACCTGCTTTGCATGTCTGTAGGTTCGGTGTGAGTACAGCATGGCTAATTTTAGTACTGGAGATCGCATGAGGAAATCTAAGGGTGACAGGTTCGCTTTATTTACTTGTTTGATTTCCTGATTTTTTTCCACTGAGTTTTGATATATTTAACTATACTTATTGAAATAGTACCAATGGAGTATGGATTAATAGGCTTTATCAGGATCGTTGATAACTGCATGCTCAGCCATGGGCTATGTATCCTAGAGCAAGCACAATTGCTGCTCTCCACTTCTTTTTTTTCTTTTCTTTGTGCTCTGGCTTTTATGAAGCATCTATTACCAAAATTTGCAGATAGTTTTGAATGGCTTAGCCATCAATGTCTGTAGACATAAATTTCATCTTGATTTGTTTCTCCTTCAGAATGTGTTAATTTGATTCTTATTGCAAGGTTCTCTTGCACAAGGATAATGGGACAACCTCTTGGTTTTTTCTTCTTTATTTGATTGAAGTTGTCTCGTGCTACAGGAGATCAACTGAAATTTCTCTGGTTATTCGACAAACCATGGAAGCATGTATATTGACACACTTAATGCCCCGTTCCCAGGTTTTGTTAGTCTTTGGAACTTATTGTATAAATGTTTTTTTTTTCTTTTTTTTTTCTAGTGATCTATTTATGTAATTTGCAGATAGATATTTATGTCCAAGTTCTCCAAGCAGATGGAGGTAATTAATACCTGATAACTTAATCTTGTGATTGTCGTCTCCTCTCATTGTCATTTTATTTTCTCTCTTTTGCTCTTTCAATAATGTCTCGTGTTAATTTTTTGCAATATTAAAACACAACTTCATGCTTTTGTGTAATTTGTTTTTCTTGACATGCCTCTACAGGAACTAGATCTGCCTGTATAAATGCTGCAACTTTGGCCCTTGCTGATGCTGGGATCCCTATGTGTGATCTTGTAACTTCCTGTAGTGCTGGATACCTTAACAGCACCCCTCTTCTTGGTATTTATCTGTTTTTACTTAAAAATTTTACTGGCTAAATACAAGAGTGATATGTCTTATTTTGTTTCAATCAACCGATGATTGAGCAGTGCATGGGTTGTCATAATTATTGAAAGCTGCTTAATGAATATGAACAGATTTGAACTATGTAGAAGACAGTGCCGGAGGTCCTGATGTAACTCTAGGAATTCTTCCTAAGCTAGATAAAGTGACACTTCTTCAGGTTAATTTTCACTTTTTTATTATTTTCTGTGTTTCTTTTGTAGTCAAAGTAAATTAATTCATGAAAGAGGAGTTTGTTTATGTCCCCTCCTGGACACCTGGTCCTAGTTTACGGTGTGTTTGCATTGCAGCTTGCTAGCATTCCCTAGGGATTGATATTACAAAGTTGTATTTGATTTGAACACGGGCTATTATAAAGGCTGATGGAGATCGAGAACCTTGCACATTTTAAGAAACAATACATTTCTTTTGTACTCCAATATCTTTTTCTGAAATCTTCTCTAGCATTCACTGAATGTCGTGTTCCATAATTTAGAATTGAAAAGCTCCTTGTTTAATTTGATGGTATCATGGTTTAGTAGAGGCTTTTGCTTGATTTTTTTTACAATGTAAGACTTCAAATTTTATTTCCACTACTCATTTCTTTTGTTGGTGGCCGTAGATGGATTCTAAACTACCAATTGACATTTTGGAAAATGTTATGCAACTGGCAATCGAAGGCTGCAAAGCAATAGCAAACTACATTCGAGATGTAAGAACCTGTCCTCATTTGTAATTATACACTGAGTAGTGCAAATGCGGTTTACATTCATTTCATGGCTCAAATCCCAATTTCTTTGCTGGTTGGCAGATTTTACTGGATAACACAAAGCAACTTGAGTATCGGCGCGGTGTATAGTTTTATAGCGGGAGTAATGTTTCTGTTTAGCATCAATTTACTGTTTGGTTTATGCTCATGTGTGTCCACACGCTTGTGTGGGTGTAATGATTATTTTCGATGGTCATCTTTCTCCAAGCTGCAGGTTCATTTTTGTGCATTTATCATTTTGAATTAGAATTCTACTTTCTATAGCTGGAAATTTTTTTGGCATATGATACAGTGCCTGTGAAGCAGGATATGTAAAGGTGACTCAGGAATTTGTTTCTCATTTCTACCAACTTGTCAATTGATGTGTAACAAGTTTATGAAATATTTTGAGCCCATGTACATCGGCCCCAGAAATTAGAAAGCATGTAAACTTGTAATATGACACATTTAACAAGTGGAATTCATAATTGTAACTAAGAACTAAAATCATTTAGCATGTTGCGTTCATGGACGTTGTATCCTAATATTAATGGCCTCGTCTTCCTCTGATTGATATCTACACTTTACATGTTAATTAACTTTACTTTTTAATTTTGTAAATTTACTTTTTAATTTCGTAAATTGCCTTCAATTAATACTAAAAGTCTTAACATTTCTTGAATTCTCGCTGTTGTCTAACTATTAAACACTGGTTTTGTTTTTATATAACTTAATCTGATTAAATTTATTAAATAAATAAACAATTGAGAATAATTTTAAAAATGCAGTCCTTATTAGTTTTGGGTTGATTATAACTTCATAGATATTTATAATGATCATTGATATATAAAAAAAAAAGAGGTTATTACTGATTAATTTTAAAATTGTGGTTTCATTTTAAACATTTGAATATTGAAGTGTGAAAAATTGTTAATGTTGCACAATTTTTTTTACATAATTTTAGCATTTATGATCAAATTATATACAATCAATTTATAATTTTTTTTTTGCTAAAAATATCTAATTTTACAAATGAAAATAACCCGAATGTTGATAATCAAAAAGTTTTAAGTTTATTATAAATATAATAATGAAAAATCTTTTAATGTATAAGGTTTTTAAAAATGTAATGAATGTCATGTGAAAGAATTTATGAATAAACATGATTGCCTTGATGATATGAAAAATGAAATCACTATGCAATAATATATAAAATTAATGAATAAGACATCTTAACTCTTGCAACTTCAACCTTTAAAGCCAGAGGATGAGGGACCAACCTTCTCTCTAATGGTTAGTTTAGGCTATGTTGCAAAGCAAAAGAAATGTTAGGACGTTTTTTTCACACCTTTTTTAACACTTTACTATTGAATAGAACAAATGTAAACTTGTTAAATCATGTAAACTCTATTGTTTATTTAACGAATGACACGTAAAATTCACTTATAATAAGAAACGTATTGCTAAATCTCTCTCCAAAATAACCAGGTGATCATTCTTTAGTCGCTCATTTCTCTCACGAAAAGTTAGTCATATATGTTACAAATTGGACTTCCAAGCACTAATGGCAGAGTGCAATAAGAAAGTCTGAATTAACCGTACCATCAAACATCATGAAATCTGTGCAATAAGCCAAGGCATTATGATGGAGAATCAATAGCAGAACTGAACCAATTAACAATCCGGCATAGTTGAACACAGGCACAGGACGGGGCCAAGTTTTGGACCTCCTTTTTTTGGTAATTTGTGGATGCAAGTATAGTCATTACCTCCAAAATTTCACAAAATATATATAAATGAACTGAAAATTAAAAGCCATTCTCACAAAAACATAGGCTTTTCTAAAAGCACTACTTCTAGCCTAAGATCACACCAAAAAACCTGATACTCCTAAAGTGCACTATTTCTACAACTTAGTGCTACAGAAACTGAGACCATTTATTGATAAGACTTTGTACAATTCCTCAAAGACCACTTCTCTCAAGACCCAGACGCTCACTGCAAAAACTCGATGGCACAACCGAGAGCTGCAGCCGCCCTGTCCATTCTTCTCCTGGCTTCAAGTTCACAGGTTTCTCTATTACTGCCCCATCAACACAAAGCATCTGTTTGTACTCCTCATCACCGAAGTCCACCATCGACTTTGATTTCTTCTCCCATGGATTCCACACAGCTGCACATTGAGGAAAACACCATAAAACTACAGATGAAAAGGACTGCACAAATTTTCTTATAACAATTTATATCCATATTCGAGTTGAATTACAAAATTAGTGTTGCTGGTATCATTGATTGCAGGAACTAGGCACACATAATAGTGCAAGTGTCTTGCTCCTTCTGTTCTATGTGTCTGAATCACTTTTAACAACTAAATAGCTTACCAACATCAGGGAGACCGTCCTTTCGTATGACAAATGTCCGCTTCCTCTCATGATCCAGAACAGCAATTATATCTGGAGAGCTAAGATAAACTCGATCCACCTGCCAACAAGAAAGGTTAAATTTTGAATACCGCTTTATTCGTAACCAGTATATCAAAAACAGAAGACTTTAGTGAAAATATGTGATTGATAAAACTGCATAGGCTAGGAGGAATACTGTACTATAGTTACCTCAGCCAGAAGTAAAAGCTTAAATTGCATAATGGAACTGTAAATTTGCATATGTTCTAAACATGAATATAACCCAGAGGGATTCACCTCAGATTCAAATGTTATTGCATCTCCTTGTTCTGTAAATCGTTCTTTGTGGAAAAGGTTGTCTAGGTAATCAAGTGTCTCCAGACCTTCAATTCTTATCTCACTGGACAACATTGTCAATGTGAGTTCTAACTACCAATCTTAAAAGAAAATTCCTTGTTCTAAAAAAATAAAGAGAAATAGCTCAATGATAAAAGTATTAAATAAACTATGCAAATAGACAACAAGCAGTTCAAACAGTGGCTTGCTTCAAAAGCTTACAAACTCTATTGGGCCTGTAAAAACTTTGGACTTCAATTATAACTAATTACCTGCTTCATGTTTCACTATAACTGACCTGAGTAGACCTTATAATTTCAGTACTAACAGTATTCAGAGAACAATCCACCGTATTTTTAGGCATCCACGCTAGTGTCAAATGATTAGACCATATATTAGTCTACAGTATATTCTAAAGAAGAAAAAAGTCCTCTCTGACCTGATTAAATTTTAAATCCCAAAATTTAAAAGCCTTCCAGCAAACAATTCACTTAAATGTATGATATATGCAGAAAATACACAATTCAGAACAATAAACCAATAAGTTGTCTCCAATAAATTCTGAAGAAGGAAGTGTGGTTGGTGTTAAAATAAAATTTTAACTACAGAACCTTTGTTAAGTGTTCCAGCAGTCAATTTATAATGTAAAAGAAAAAAGAGGGTTGGACATCATCCCCCATCCTCTGAAAAGTGAATGAAGGACAAGTACATGAAAGAATTAGCCGTACCTAATGTCAGAAACCAATAAGTAAGTGTGATAAGCGAATGAGAAACTAAATGGCTTGCCATTTATATTCCTGACTCTGGATATCAAAGTCAGGTCCCCATCTGTCGTAAGAGAAACCCGAAGACGGAATTCAAAGCTGGTACAATTAGGCAATTGTTAGCTTACTACTGCATGAAATTTACTTTCAAACATAGGACAAAGAAATATCAAGTGCACACATCAGCTGTGATACTATCACACAATGCTAATAAACCAAGTGAATCATAATTCATGAGCTATGGTTTTATGGCATTCAGATTTATACCTATGTGGCCAGCACTTGATATCTTCTTCGGATGATTTCAGTAGCAGATCAATGAAGGACCTCCCAGCGGAATCATTTGCAGTCAGAGGAGGAGGATTATCATCAATTGCCCAAATTCTATTTCTTGCAAAACCATGCAGCTCCAGCGATCCAGAGTTTCCAAACTGTTAAACAAATTTAGTCTACAATATGTGAATTATGTATTTTAGAATTTATTGAAAATATAACATACAAAGCAGTAATTTACCTGTGGAAAACATACAGGAATTCCTCCTCGTACTGCTTTTGGAGCCTTGAGAATTGCCTACAATCAATTGGAAATAAGACAAAGGAGTGAGTTATGACCACTTGCCTCTTCGCATATTCAAATGGGTGAAGTTCTATATTTCTACAAAATCATTCTCTGTGAACCAAAGTACCAAAAAGGCAGCCACTCTTTTTGTTATAAATCAACATCAACAGTTAGCAAATAGGATATCCCATCAGAGTTTTCACCAAACCAGTATTCCACTCCAGCGGTTCAATGCCACATGTTTTTTACTGAAACAATTGCTATATTTGTCAATATGATAAGAGCACAAAATCACGACATAGCTGCTAGCCATTGGTTAAATGAGTGAATTCACACCCACCCCACCCCACCCCACCCCACCGAAAAAAAGTGCAATATTGATCAATTCACCCTTTCTTCCTTCTTTTCTCCTTGTATCGATATGATGATGAGCAAAATAGAATGTTATGTTTCACCAACATCTGAACTCTTTTTAAATTTATAGATCATTGAAGCCAATGACCTTTACATACCATCTGCAATATTATGCAGTTTAGCCCAACATGAACTCATTTCTGAAAGCAGGATTATGAAATGTTGACATAGATTTTCCTGATCAGCACTGACAGCTAACCAATTCAAATCATTTGAAAAAATATATAATGATTTTTTATCAAAGTTAAAAGATATACCTTGCTGCTTGTGAATAGAAGTTCTTCCCCCTGCTCATTCCGCCATGAAGTGACCTGTGCTCCATGTAAGCTTACCTAATTTCAAGAAAAAACAGTTAACCACAATACAGTTAGCAACTACATTATATACTCAACTTAAACTAGAAATATCATTCTGAGCCAAGTTTTCCTTATCATGGGTTGAGATTGGATGTTATAATAAATGATAAAATAAAAAATTCATCCAATGTTAAACCATCACCAAGTTCTCACCCTTGCCGAAGCACCTCTTGGGGTCCGAAGCACAATTTGATCAATGCCATTCCAGTCCTTTGTAATTTCAGCTGCTGCTCTATAGTCCCACACAGCTGCAGAATGCCCCATTCAAATTTGTGTAGATCCTCTACTTCCCTAGCTAACCCTAATACACTTCTCAAATTTGGTACATGCTGATGCCCAGAATTGAAGGGGAATCCAATCCAACCTATAATGTAACAAAGAAGTGAATTAGCCTTCTCAGATATAGTCAAATTCCCAACAGCCAATTTAACTCACCAAATCTCTCCTCACTGGCGTGACTCAGATCTAGTGAACCCTAAACATATTAACATATTTTAAAAACAAGAAGTAGGAATGCATGAGAAAACTTCATTAAAATCTCTGAAAGCATAAAACAGAAATATTACATTTTGAACATTTGTCAACTGCATACCAATCTACCTGGCACACATCTAGATATGCCCCTTGAAACTTGTCTGATTTACCGCAGAAAAAGACAACTAAATACTGAACGAACTCAGAAAGATTCAAACACTTAATAATTATAAATAAATATAGCCAACATATAACAACTGTAATAAATTTTTCTTTAAGAATATAACCAAAAAACAATAACAATAATTCCTTGAAGAAAATGCAACATAAGGGAACAAAACCAAATATTACAATGAAATGACATCAAACTCGAGACTACTACATAAGCAAGTCCCATTTACCAAGCACTAGTAAGTGTGCTTACTCCAACAATCCAAAATCAGGAATTCGTAAACCGACACCAGGTCTTGGATGCAAAAAGAAGCAGTGGGAGACAGAGCAATGTGTCAAATGGGCTCAGAAGTTCACACATCCAATGACACGAAGCAACAATACCTATTCAACAACTGCAACAGACCAGAGAAGGGGAAAAGTACAGAGATGCATGACGAAGAAGTGTTTAAAAAGTTGAAAGGTACCCTTTTCTTAGAAGTATTCATTCAACACTAAACTTGCAATTGAATCAAGAAAAGTTTAAAAATTTCAACCACCCCAAGATTTGAAAAACCAAAAACTACAGCAACTGGTAGGTGGCAATGTTGTGGGATGGTGGGATTAAAATTTTACATTAGCTGAAGATAAGGAAGAAAAAGCGGTTTTTGTAAATTGTGTGTGTCTGGTGGCTGCGGCAGAGATCTAGGACGTGGAGATACGAGAAGTACATTAACACATGTACAAACCGTCAAAAAAATTGAACATTTTTTAATATTATGTTATCATTATATGTAATGTACCACAACAAAATTTTAAAATACCCGTTACAGTATAAGGGTGAAAACTACCTTTTCTTTGGACTCTGGTGGCGAGAGAATCAACATTCACAGTTACCCATAGTTGAAGAAGATGAAAATGAAAGTAAAACTGGTCTCTTCAATCAACACACAGCTATCACATCACTTCAGCACACTATTTTAAGGACATGCGTACATATATGGTTTTTTTCTCCATGAGTTGTGTAAAATGGATTTGTCAGCGCAATCCCGGGCTTATCTTTAAAATTGTCTTCTTTTCCCTTTCTTTTTTAGCATGGAAACAATTGCCATTTCTTTATTATATAATAACGATAGACCAACAAAAGAAATTAAGTTGCCACAAAAGAAAACTCAGTGTCATTGAATTGTTATTTTTCTTATCATGATCGCTCAATTGAGAAGTGAAACATAAAATAAGCCCACAGTATTTTCGCCAATTCAAATTGTCCGCATGGTCATGGATATTTTAATTTTAAATTCTTCCGCTTTTCCATCCCATGTTAAAAGTCTCGTTTGAAATCAGAAAACTTTTACATTATTGTCATCAGATTATATGTATTTCATTATTAAATTATATTGCTGATGCATATTTATCTCTGATTTTATTGTGTAATTGTCATTTTGTGGTATTTTGCAATTACAGGTTATGATTCTTTTTCAGTAGATTGGGGGTAAAGGGAAAGGGAAATAAAGAAAAAAAATGATTTTGGTTTGTTAATTGTGTTTGTGTTTGCAATTAATATAATTATACTACTAATTATAAAATCATCGTTTTATTTTTTGTATTTAAAAACCAAACAGTAATAATTGGTCATTGTAAACCTACATGTTAAGAATTTGAATGCTAAAGTCGTCACAGAAGAAGGCTATATCACAATTGGTCTAAGGGTTAGCGATTGTATTTATCCTGAAGATTCTTAGTAAAAAATAATATATAATAATTAAATCGCACGGAAAATCAATAGTCAAATTTGTCTTTTTTTTTTATGTAAATAGTCAATATTGTTAAAACATCTTTAGCCTATGGCAGTGGTAGCAGCTGTGCAAGACAAAGTTTCAAGGCACACTTGATTCAGTTTTTTTTTTAAAAATATTGTTTCTATCTATTATGAAATAGCACTTATTTTTATTTTATCTTCTATTTAGAGTTCTTTAAAATACTAGCAATTATATGACAAAAAATATAAATTTTCAATGTTTCCTAAGCATGAATCATCCATTGCTGAAGTGGAATGCTTAATTCTTTAAAAGGTCATAGGGATGGTTGTGATATGATGTTGCACGTGTTGAGGAATGGGCGTAGATAACCAATTAGCACCGTCATTTGACACACACATGCCGATCCTCAATGTCCACTAATCAACGACCAAACATGTCCCATCTCCCTCCAAGTGTCCAACCACAATATAGTAATAGCCTTCATGATTCATCGTTAAATGAGATTTTAAGTTAACGCTTAGATCCAAAGTTTATCAGTAAGCTTGCCAAACATGTTTTCCCAGAAAAACTGAATATTTTGCAATGGTAACCTTATGATCACTTCAATCAAAATTTACCCATATGCCCCTCTTGTCTGGAAATGTATCTAAATACATGCATACCTACGTACCTTCGTCAAATTCAATTAAATGAATTTATTCCTTGATTGTACTCTACGGGTACCTAATGAATGAGTATTATGCAAGGTCAACGCACATGGTCTAGATCTAAAGATTAAATTGTTGCTGAATCCAACAAGTTCATGCACTTATGCCCATGTTTACAATTAAACTTTTTCTTTAATATGTCCACAATACATAATAAAAATAACATTTAATATTATTAATGTATTAATTTTATAATTTTTAATTAGAATTTAATGTATATAAATTTTATCATGCATTTTTTTTACACACATTAAAAAATTAATAATTAAATACTAAAAGTGGCTTATGGATTGAATAGGAATCATTGATGGGACTTAAGTAACAGAGCATTCCAGTTATTAGTCATCTTTCCTATTGTTGGTAGGTAAGCTCTGAAAAGCAGCAATACTAATTAGATACGTTGTCATGTAAGGATTTACTCATAATTTGTGTCAAAAGATTAGCGTTTGCTGGAAAACGCTAATAGTATTACTCAAAAAATTGAACGCTAATTATTGTTGTATAAGAACACTAGTTGAGAAGAAAATTTTGTTTTTTATTAAAAATAATTTAATGTATTTTTATCGTAATTTTAATATAGTTAATAATAAGAGAAATATTATAAGAGTACTGGTTATTAAAGCCTTCTAAAAATATACTACACAAAAAATACTTTATATTTAAAAATTATCTCTGTTTTTAAGTGTGCACGCTATGCAACATTTCATATGGAGTTTCCTGCATCTGTATATGAACTTTTTGTTTTCTTGCATCTTTCGATGTACATTTGTATATTAGAACCAAAGCACAAACAAAATTAAGAAAATTCTCATACCATTTAAATTTTCTCGCACAGTTTTCCTTGATTAATGTGAACAAAAAGTTGTAATATAACAAACCAAATTTAGGAAAAAGCTTACAAAAATCAGATAAATCCGAGGTGGAAATTTTGTCTGATAGAAGAATCATGAGAAAAGGAAATCAGATTCACATGGTGAGCGCCATACATGACCCGAGAACATTGGGCTGGTCCAACTGACCCACTAATATTCCAAAAATTGGACCGAGATCGGGCCTGTAGGCTGGTGCTGAACCATTCTTGTTCATCAATTGTAAAATCATTATTAATGGGTTGTGCTTGGGCCGCGTTCATTGACCCAACAACCGGAAAACAGGTTTCTTTTCTTTTCCCCCTATGGCCCTAGAGGTAATAACTAATAAGTATATGAAAAAGGAAGGAAAAAAAAAAAAAAGATATTTTTCTACCCAAATCCAAGTAATACGCTAAGTTAATTAGTTGGACATTGAGAATTCAGTTTTATTATTTAAATGTTAATAAACATTATATATAATTATCTCCATCTATAACTTATATTTATTCTTCTTTTACACCTAACCTTAAAAATACATCTAAAAGATAAGTTTTTTACAATCTTATTTTAAACGTGTTTTAAATTGTTTCATAAGAAAAACATTTTTTTTTTCTTCAGAATCACTTCTCAGCTCTCTGCTTAGACGAGACTGAAGGAAAAAAATCAGACGCTAAAAACAATATTTTATAGTTTTTTTTTCAAAAACTATTTTAAATAGTTTAATTAAAATTACAATTATAACCACCTTTTAAATTAAAATCTTTTTACAATTATAACCGAATAAAAAATTTATATTTTACCCTCCCAAGACTTTATTGTAGTAAAACTTCTAAAATTATTATTTTAAATTTTGTCGACAAAGTATATAATTTTTACAGATTCTTCTAAATTGCTTCTTTTTTAAAAGCCGAAATAAACAGCCTTTTATCTTCACTTTTTTCACCAGTAAATGAGGTTGGAAAAATTAACAGTACTATAATTGAATCTATCTTCACTTTTATTTAACTACACTTTATACGCCATGCTCGTAACTTCAGTCGCTGAAGTAATAGGCAACCATGTGATTTGTTTTTCAAAAGTGAGAGTTCCCTATAAAAAATAAAATTCAATTACAACCACTAAATACAAAATTAACCAATGATATCGTAATAAAATATGTGCAGATGGATATGTAAACCATGCATATCATAAGCCCCAAGAGTAAGAATAGCTAGCACTAACGATAAGCCAGACTAACTTATATATCAAATACCATTAGAAGGTCTTAATACACACCCAACATCCATTTATGTAACTTCAACGACCTTCTCTAAACTAAAATCTCTAAATTCTCTTCATTTTACAAACTTTGTCATCCAATTTCGTCAATTCTAATAGAATACAGAGTTTTTGTCCTAAGTAACTGACAAGCAATGAATTAGTTCTGATTTTGATGGATTTAGATACTAAAATTCAGCTGATCCATCCCCCTGAAAACTGTTAGAAGTAATTTTGGGCTTGTAATATGCCAAAACTACATGATCAGCCAGTGCAATTACTGGTTTTCTGTATCAACCAGCTGCCACAGCATCAGCTCTAGGACTTGTGTCCAGTAGTTGATGCAGCTTTGCACCAGAATTTGGTTTCTTGTCACAAAAACCATTCTCATCTTCCTCAGTTCTATCATTAGAACCGGAGTTATTAACTCTTGATAGTAAGTTTTCTGTACTTACAGGTGTAGCCCTCTGGCTGTCAATGCAGTTCAGAGTTATCTCTTGTGTTTGTCCCAATTGAGCGTTTTTAAGTTTTTCCTGAGTCAAAAAAGCAATATAATACTCAGCATTCTGAGTACCATAATCAAATGTATATACGTATTGAGGAATGGTATGTGAATAGTACCCTTAATGTAGCATTTTCAACCCTCAGTTTTTCAGAACTTTCAGTCAGTCGATTTATTTCTGATTTCAGTGACACGTTCTCAGCATTCAAGGATTCAACTTTTCGTGCCAGTTCTTCAGTTTCAGCCTGAACAGTGGGAAAAAAAGAGCATTAGTCACAAGCCTATATTGAATACAATTTTTACTTTCTGTTTTTCTTGGGGGCTGGATGCACAGCAATACGTACAAGTGTGTGATACGGAAAGAAACTGATCATGATTTTTAAATTGACAACCAACGAAGTGATCAAAGGTTTACATTGTTTGGAAGAAACCTACAACACTTTTACCTGCTTCCTTAGTCTGGATCTTCTGGCAGATTCTCGATTAGATTGTTTCCGCCTCTCACGCTTCAGCTCCCGCTCATTCTAAGGAATCCAAACATACCCACAAGAATTACTTTAATGGTAGCAAAAGATGAGAATACTGCAATATTACTACAAAATGTTTTATACATATATCTCATGCACTAAATAAGATCCGAACTGCCAGGATGAATTATATGGTGAACATACCTGTAACCAAGCTTCTGCAGGCAATACTGCACAAGGTTGTGGGGCACTCGTGGTATTTGTTTTAGAATGAACACTGGAAGGATTTCTCAGCTCCAGCGTGGTGATCATACCTGAAGACACTACAGGTCCAACTACTTTTCCAGCAACACTGGCAGGGGTAACTGACATCATCTTATTAGAAGCTGCAGTTTCTTTGGAAATGGGACTGCCTTGTATCTCAGTTTTCCCTTCTCCATCATCTGCTTGCACAGTGTGGAAAAGAATAACCATCAACATAAATTATGTTGAAGCCCTGCTCTAGCTTTAGACGCTTGCATATATATAAATCATGCATTTTGGATATGAAGACATTTTATTAGTAATTGCATACATAGGACATCAAGACCCACGATGTATAATGTCTATAATCTACATAAAAGACCACCCTAGAGTCTACATTGTCAAACTGAAGACAAAGTGAAAAACTTCGACAATTTCACCTAACTGAGCAAAAATATTATAATAGAATTAAATTTATCAAGACCCAACTCAATAAACTGATAGACATCATGTTTACAGTAAAGGTAACAGACGACTAGTTGTGATCCCAGGACAACTCTATTGTTCATCAAGATGTGACACTTGGTGAAGAACAGAGTCATACCAGTGGTTGGTGTTCCCTCACGGCTTCTTTTCCTTCTTGTTTGATTAGCCTGAGCATAAAATAGGCAGATATCATATTTTAACGTTTCAATTTTGTCAAACCATTTTAGAGAAAAATAGACTATAGTGGAACAATTGCATATGGCCAACAAAGTGGAAAAAATGCTACTTGCAAACATGTTCTCACCCCTGCAGTGCTGCCATCGCTTCCATCACTGGAACCCTCAGTTTCCACACTGTTCACATCATTAAATTGCTCAGTCATCCACAAGATTCCGATACGATAACCAGCTCATAAACCAGTCTTTCAGACACACAGAGAGAGAGAGAGAGAAGGTAGAATTTAACCCTAATAAAGTGTATCGGTTGACAGATTTTCCCCCCTCCACCACCCCCAATTTAAGAAAGAGAAATATACAGCATGTATGTCCCTCAAAATACTCGTATAACAAAGAAAGAATCCACAAACCTTTGGGATAGCCTGGTTTCACCTCCACGCTCAGCACTTTCAGTATGGCCATTGCCTATTGACATTGCAAGTCCATCAAACCCCTTCAATTTCTTCATTAAACCCTGATCAGTATTTCCAGATGATTTGGGGGGTGTCTCTATGCTTAAAGGAGTTCCAGCCTGCATTGTTACACAATTCAAATAAATCATAAATTGATAGCGTTCTACAACTTGAGTTGGAACTGATCTCGTAGGAAAGTAAAACTTACAGCAGGTGAAGATGGAACTGCTTGACCATGTGGATGTGGCCCCTATATTTTACATATAATTTATAAGAACACGTGGGAAATTACTACCAATAAGAGCATACTAATAAACGATGAAAAGTTTGTTCATGCCCATTTTAATCAGGATTTTATTACATGAAATTTATCAAAGCATGCATAGGTTAACAAAAGCTGACATGCAAGTACACAACTAGATATAAATAACTCTTAAATTACCTAGGTCAATTGAAACAGCAGAACCAGATCTCTGTATATTCTTAACATCTGTGATCCTTATTGTTCCATTTTTACAACAATATAAATATACCAATTCATGTACCAGAGAAGAACACTAGTTCCAAAAACAAAAAGGCAATTAAAAACACTAAGCCACAAAAGCATATTGCAAGAATGTAGGCTTACCATAGGAACTGCAGGGTGAGTATAAACTCCTCCATGTGAATAAATGGCTGCATAAGGGGGCCCATAAGGTGGCATCATAGGCTGGAAGAAACAAGAAGTTAGCAAGTTATTCATTACTGTCATCTGGGACTTATACCAAAACATGCAAAAATAAACAAAGATTGGCAATCACAAAATATAAAATATGATGCATTGAGGTATTACTTACTACCTGCGGTGGCCACATGTACGGGTGAGGAGTGTGACCAGAAGCCACAGCTGAGTTGTAGTATGGCGGGATGGGGACTCTTGGCCCATAATATGCCTGAAGATATAGCAAACACTTTAAACCATAGAAAACAGTTCCTAGAGGGCAAATGGGCTTCAAAATGTTGGATGAACCAATTTGAAGGAAATAATAAAAATTAATAGTTTCATGCCACCAAACCAATCATTTTTTAAAAGGGAAAGCAACCCAGAGCCAAAGCACATTACATCCTAGATATTATACCCCAACTGATTACCAAAACCAGTGACAATTCAGTGCATAATTTCTATTTGATACTGATTAGGTGTAAATATTGATAGCAACCCACAAAATATAGAATAAGTAATACAATGAATGCACCACAGGAATGGCACTCTAATAACTATATGCCAGAGAGAATGATCATAATTCACAAGAGGATATAAACAACCGCTTTCACCAAGGGAAAAAAAAAAAAGTAAAACAGAAAGACATGAACGGTATTTCTACAAAGAAGGTAGCTGATGTTTTCCCAGGAAGATGTATCAAAGATCACTTCACTTTGAAAAATGGTGGAGGTGAGGCAATGCAGATAATGGCTCACCAATTTGTCAACAGTAAAACATAAGGTTATTAAAAAATCTTCAAAAAACGTGGAGTCGCTAGCTGACAATCCAACAAGATAGTGATTATAAACAGCAGGATTTTTTAAATCAGGCGTGAAAGGGATTGATGGAGTGAGTAACAAGGCTTAAACTACTATGATTTGAGAGCATCTGTTTGCTTTGAATTTGAAGTTAGCTAACAAGAAACTGGATTGAATATTTCAGTCATTAACAGACAAAGTAATTCCAAGCAAAAAGGTAGTTAACCTGCATGGCTGCCCAATCAGGATAGACATGAATATTGGTCTGGTTGGTATGATTGGTTTGATCCTGTTCATAAGATGAGTACAAAAGCATTAAAATTCAAACTTCTTATAAATGCATCAACATCCAGATATACTCTTATGAGCTCACCATTGCTACAGGTGAAGAAGGCTTTTCAGTCTTAGTAGATTTCTCTTCTTCATTGTTTCCCATTGTAAGCTCCAAATGGAAAACCCCAAGTCAAATATTGTAGAAGGATCCTTGTTACTTCTTTAAAAATGTTTCAACTGCATTAACAGGGGAACAGTGATAGCTGTTAATTGTTATCAACAAAAAAATGTTACACAGGGACAAGACAAAATTCGTAAACCTGGATTCATATATTTTAAAATCTAAACACGATCCTATATGTGCTTCGCAACCAGCATAACATAATATCTATATAATAAAAATTATGAAGTTTTTACTGCTGTAGAAAAGTTAAACACGTGAAACAGCCACAGGGGAAGGGCAATCCCAGAAATTTCGAATTAGAGCTTGATAAATTATTTTTTTTTAAAAAGGATTAACTATGGGTGCAGGAACGAAACACATCATGACTACATCAAGGGAGTTAGAGATGTTCTAGCAACTATATAACAGTAATAAGGGAAATCTAGCTCACTAAGTCTAAAATCTACTAATCAACAGATAGATTAAACCACAAACAACATATATTGCAAAATAACTTATGCCGTTTGACCTTCCAAGTTAGTATATCATACCATCATACAAATCTAGCACCTACTAAAATGAAAATCCTGATATAACTAAGAAATTCACAATGGAATTGACAAAGTGAACCAAGTCAGTAGATTTAAAAAGAGGAGAAGTCCACAAGTCGAGAATTTACATGATTTCATATCATAACTAATTAGAGACAGAGCAAATGCTTCAGAAGTAAAGGGGGGCCTCAAGATACCACTGGGCCATCAGAGAAACAGCCAACACAGTTAAGCTTTTCTGGTTCCTTGTTTTAAAGAAAGTGAGATTTCACTAATACCTTTCAAGAAAGGTTTAAAAGGCTGCAGTACTTATGGTAAGTGGTAAGCTATCGATAATTCAATCCAGAGGACATAAATATAATAGACACCAGTCAAAGAAAGAATGGTAGAGGGTCAATTCTGTCTTTTGACCACCCCACTAGCCGGATGGAAAGGGAAGGACACAGACAGCATAGCACACTATAATCCATCGCAACAAGGCATTCCGGTAACTAAATGACAAAAATACCCTTCCAAGCCAAACATTTTCTCGCTTTCACACGGGTCAAGGAATGGTGAGAAAACGAACGAAACTCCTGAATTAGCTACCTGAACCTCCATTAGATAATATTTTACAGATTTTAGCCCGATCCCGACCCTCTTCAACTACGGGAAATCGAGTTTCACAAAATCAGCATGAGGGCCAAATGGACACAAACGAGGTGAAATAAAAAGACGCTTTCCGAAGCAAATCAACACAGACAAAGCACACAAATTCAAAACATTCCCAGATGCAAAATGAGATCTAAATGAACCCCAATTCCGACTCTCCTGTTTGATTAGCTATAAATTATTTTTTTAAAAAAAGGAACAAAAAATTAGCGGTATCCTTCAGGTGTTTGGTGTATCCACAAACCAAAAATCTGTACTGAAGCAGATAACTTGTTCTCCTTTCACTCGGACTCGATCATGAAACTTCAAATTTGCATACGTACATTCAATTTTCTCAGACCCCAAATAAAACCAAAAAATGAAAAGCATTCGAAATCAAACCTTTCGACCAACAAAGCAGCAGAATTTCACGTACCTGACAGATACCCAATTCTTATCGTCACAAAATAACGAACCCCAAAAAACCAAAAAAAAAAAAAAAAAAAAAAAAGGGAAATCCAGTCCTCGAAACTTAAGTATCCTTAAAAAAAAATCAAGGTTTGGAGAAGCAATTAAGGTTGATGGGTCGACCACTGCATTTTCTCTCTCTAAAAAACCGAGGGAAAGAGCTCTGTGCTTTGACGCAGAATGGGGTGTGGTGCGGTGGTGGTGATGAACAAGAAGGAAGGAGCGCCAAGGCGATGTCCACGTCACCATACACGTGTCGTATGTCAATATCAACGTATAGCTACACCGTATATACGGTGTGGGGGTGTGGGGGTTGTTGAGCTGGCCAATTGTTTATTCCAACGTCACCACAGCCGTACACGTGCTCTTCGGAGAATCGATCTACGCGTCTTGTGTTAGGGGTCCAGCCTAGCCACACCTTCATGTGCCTTACGTGCCCTTTCAGATTCAGATTAATTTATTTATTTATTAATATATTTCACTAAAATCAAATTAAACGAAATTGAATAGGTCATTTGGAATCCACGAGTAGCCACTCACAATGTAACACACAACTTCGTCACGCCTAGTAAGGAGGACTGTTACTGATATTTTTGTTACTTTTTGCCTTCGGGTGCATAATATTTTATGTTTATGTTTAGGATCTTTCTCTTCTCTTTATCCCTTTTGAAGCCTTTACCTCTAACCTATGATTAAGCCAAACAATTCTTAAAGATTGTGATGTCAAGGAAAGTTAAGACTTAAGAGGTGGCAATGCTGTCTTTTTATGGTTAATGGCCAAAAACTCCCATTTCTTATATATTTTTAATCTTTCTTTGACAAATCAGACATAGCAATTCTCCTCCCTCATGGTGAGGTGCTGACTAATGAAAGATCCATAAATCCATATGGCAAAGAAAAAATTATCAATTATGCTCCATGATGAGTTTGGATTTTGTGCAAAAGTTATCCAGTGTACTAATATATTTTGTATCCATTTTTTAATATGATTTGAGCGTAACAGTTTTTTATGTCACGAGTAGTACTAGTGACATTTTTTTTCACCTTTCTAGTGTGTAAAATATCTCCTTTTTTTGCTTTATGATTCCCTGTAAACATTATTTGTTATTAATTTTTATTAAACAAAGAAAATATTATGTATTTTATTTCTTTATTAAAATTTCTACATTAAATGTTTGAAAAATTATTAATTTTGTTTTAAGAAGACGTAACATTGGTGGATTCATGGGTGTGGTGTGGGTGGTCCTGTTCTGAGTTTTGGGTACCTTCAAGGCGTGGTTGGCAGTTCAGACTTCAAAGTGAAAAACCTCCTCTTGCTAGAGAGAAATACTCTCTTTTTTTTTTTCAAAAGTATAAGTATTAAACATAAGCTCTACTTCTTTGTAGTTAAAAATTGGTTACACTGTGAATATTACTTTATAATATCTTAAAAAACATGACATGATATTTAACTATTTTAAATTTTATTTATTTACGTTGTTTTCCTAGGAATATCCACGTTGTAATAATAGGTTAGTGTAATATGAAATTGTCATGTCAATCGTTTTTATTATTTTCATCTCATGAATGCCCAAGCCATATGCTTGGTCTGACGTCTATGGATCACCTGTTGTTTTTAGTTTTTGTCAGTTTGGAGGTTCCAGATTGAGCCTATGCATTTTGGTTGTTGAAAAAACTGGTGATTTGTTCTTGAAATTATTAATACAAAATAATTTAATTTTTAGAATCATAAAAAATTATTTTATTTTCCAAACTAATATTATCGATCGACAGTTATTTAAATTTTCAAATTATAATGATAAAAATAACTTATTTTCAATTATTTAGTGATGCTCATTTGCTATTATTTTGTGAGATTGTTTAACTAGCGTGAATATGAATTTAGTATAAACATTTTTTATAATGAAAACTAATGTGTTCGTAATAAAAAAGATGCAAATTAATGTGACGACAGGTGTCCCACACTACCCCATGCAGCCGATGCACGCAATTTCTCGATGCCAAGCACATGGTAACCAAACGTGGATCCGGGTTGAGAAGTCGGTCGGGTCGGGTTGTAGCAACGGGTCAGGTCCAAGGTGCAAATTTGTATGAGCCCGAGTTACGTCTATAGGTCAAGCCAGAAAGGTTGCAATGCGTTTGGATCAGGTATAAAACATGTACAATGTGATCATTTGAAGAGGATTTGTGCATTTAAAAAGGTGAAGTGCATAACTATCCATTGGTTTTAATCCTTTATATAATTTACTAATGGAATTTTTCATGCAATCCATTAACCCACCTTCCATCTTAGATATGCAAACTTTTCATACATTATTACTCAAATGATATTATCGTTAACTTCAATGTTAGTGTGTTTTTATAAATACCACCCACCATTTCTTACTCGAAATAATAGGCATTTATCTGTTCATCATCGCCCGTCATTGTAGAGATCGACTCTTCTCACAATGTAATAAAATGTTCATAAGAGTTCTTCATGAAAGATGATTCACGACCTATGTTATATATAAACATGTGCAACATTATTGATAGATAATTGTATATTTTAAGTATACTATTAAGGACCCGATTTCAATCATATGTATGCAAAAAAAAATAAAAATGTTGAGAGGTAAAATTCACTTTAATCATATTTATATCTTAAAAGTGTTTTTTTCATATGCCCATTAGAAGATATCATTGTTACATCCGAAACTATATACAGGCTCACGCTTTAAACAAGAAGGTATAAATGTCTGTGTATATACTGTAAAATATGTCGGGTCGGTCAAATTTAATGGATAAAGGGCACATATGACCCGATTATTTGATCCAGCTCTCTCTCCTTTTCAATTAGTTCGTGAGAAAAATTGTAGAACAAGGAAATTATCTTAAAAGGGTAGCAACGTAAAATACAAAGGCAAAACAAACGCTCGTAACAAATACTCATTATGTAAAAAAAATTATTGTTCAAATTTTAATTCAGAACTAATCTTGTAGTAGCCTGAAAAAGCATTAAGAAAGGAATCTAGTTTAAAATAAATGAATTCTAAGCTCGTATAATATTATACAAGGTAATGAGTTATATATAACAAAATTTCATTTTATCTCCTTTTCTCCTACGTTCTTTAAATTGTCATTGAGTTTTCCTCCTTCACTTTTCTTTTTCTTCTCAAAACAAATAAGATCACATAATAGGAGATCCATAAATAATAATATTTATTAAAAATTATGAAGTTTAACATAATTAATACATTAAATTTTGTTGTATAATTTTAGACTAAATATATTAAATTTTGGAAGGTGTTTTTAAAATAAATGAAGCTTTTTCGAGAGACAAAAATAATAAGTGTATGTATTATTAAATATAAATTGTTGAAACGTCAACGTAATAATTGGGAAATATTATAGGAATTGTCATCCATGTGTCATGTCTGACGCATCTGTCCTTTAACTCGCCAATAACGAATTTCCACCTTTAATTCCAACTCATCCTCACTGTCTTCCCACGTGTCGTCTTTTCGAAAACAAAACCGTGGGACCCACTCTCTCTTCACTGCACATCCAACCATCACTCTTTATCCTAATCCAACAGCTCATAATCTGCCACGCCTTTATAGGATAATCCCACAGTGACACCGCATCTGCCAGCGAGACCCCACAGTGCCTACAGCGCACTATTTTTTTTTTAAATTGACAAAAAAACAAAACAATGCTTTTTGAAATTGTAACGAGCAATTTAATTGATAAAATAATAGATTAATAAAATATAAGTTTTTATTGTATAATAAATTAATAAAAAATTTAGTTAGTTAGAAATTTAAATTAACAACAATGAATACATTGCATGTTTTATAAAATAAAATTTATATTTGTTGTTTTGGTTGATATATTTTAAAAAATTAGTTTTATTATTAATATTTTACATTGTTTAATTTATAAAAAAAAAAGTATATGTGATAGAAACATTGAGGTGTGACAAAATTTGAATTGGTTATGCTATTATTATAAATAGTAAAAAGTTAAAATATATTTTTTCAATAAATGAAATGGAAATAAAATTAATGTATTTTAAAGAAACAAAAATATGTCTAATCCGATAAAAAAAAATCATAGAAAGTTAAAATGATAATAATTTGTAAATTTAATTTTTATGTAAAGTTAATATAAATATTTTTATTTTAACAGATAATTAATTATTATAAAAATTAACCATTTTATCAATATGATTGGATGAAAGTACACAAATAGTTTTTGTACACAAATATTTTACATTGTTAATATTATATTAAATTCATAAATATATAAATGCAATGTATGAGTTTTGTTTTCTAAAAAATAATAAATTAAATTTTATAAAGTGGCCGGTTCAAGTTATTCAATGATAAAAACCTGTTTGTATATAAATACAAACATTTTTCTTTAAATAATCAATAATTTATTCCTTCGCAATGAACATGCTTCATAAAGAGTGTAAATTGAAATTGGAAAGTAATACAAACAGGCCACAAATCAAATGCAGAAAAGGCCTTGTTCAAACTCCTGATAATATTTATAAAAGCATTATAAATAATATTCAAAGTATAAGTTTAAAAAAATTTACATTTAATTTAAATATTTTATTTAACTTAAATTAGATTTAAGTTAAATAAAAAACTTAAATTTAATATAAAAATTTATAAACTTACATCGATGTAAAAAAAAATATTGTTATATTTAAAATTTATATTTATATTTATAATTTTTTTTAATAATTATATAAATTTGAACTCAAGCTTATTTGTTGAATAAATATTTTATCTATTAGAAATAATTTTTATAGATCCACATTTAATATGGATTTAATGGTAACTCCTGATTATACTTGTCACAAATGCCTAGTCTTACCTGTATCCACATCCTCATAAGAAGACCCGTAGAACATTTGAAGGTTACAAATTGCTGGTTTGAAAGGGTGTACAGCTAGTAAGTAGTGTCTTAGAACAATGCAAATTTGGCTATCTAATTATGTTTTATGGATTTTGTAATTGAATTTCGTACAAATGAAGATACAAATAGAAAAAGGAAGGAACTGAAAAAGAGATAATGAATAAAAAAGAGTAATATTTTATATTTTTAATAAATTTTAATTAATAATTAAAAATAACGTTATTAATTTTTTTTAAGGGAGAAAAAAAATACAACTTTGGAATTGGGAGTCGGAATAGGAATGGGAAAGGCGTGGGAAATTGGAGTTTGACAAATAAAAAGGGGGCACGTGGGTGCGTGTCGCTATCTTAGAGGGAGTGAGGGACCACGCATCAACAAGTTCTGGCCGTTGATTTTCTGGCGCTATTGACGGTGATGCGGTTTTGGCGCTACCAAGGGAAAGAGGATCAGTGACGTGGCTGCACATTCCCGACAATATGATGTGTCCATTAGGCACACGTGGGCCCAATTGACGTGGACCTTATGCCAAACTTTCACATCCCATTATCTCCTTCCTTGTCCCCTCATCTCACGCTTTATACTTATTATTTATTTTAATTTTTTTTAAGCTTAAATTTGTTACTTATGTTTTTATTTATTTAGCAATTAAAAATTTTATTAGTTATATATATATATATTACGATTAATAACATCATTATTAACATTTTTTATAATATTTCGTGAATAGATAACAGAAAATAATAAGATACTTTCTTACTTTATTTTTATTGCGAATTTGTTTTACTAATATACTATGATAAAATTATCTTATAAATTTGTTATATTTATATTTTAGTGTAAATTTGTCGTACAGCAATTTATATCAGAGTTTAACAAACTAGGATAATAAGTTGCTAAATAGTTTTATTTTTTATTTTTTATCCCAATGTACATTAAGTAAAATATAATAAGAGCGTGTTTTACTCTTCTTATATATATATATATATATATATATATATATATATATTATTTAATTATGATATTATATTGTTTTTATCTTATTTATCAAACACTCATAATAACTTTACTCATTTTATATTAATCAAATGGTAACCGTTTTATTTGTTTTCCGAGAGTTTCACTTGTCGCTAATATTCAATGTATTATACATAATTTAACTTTACAAATAGTGTGTATTTGTTTACAATCTTACTCGCAAATCGCAATAGATGAAATATTGATAAAGTTTTTATATAATATCTTAACTATATTAATCTAAATAAAATAAACTTATTTACGTTATGACACAATAAAATCACCAATTATGATGACTAAGGAAATGAAAATAACTTGATATAAAAATATTGTCTGAAAATAAAATAATTTGATGACTCAAGTACTTCGTGAAGACTTTGACTGTAAGACATAACATAACGTTGTTATTCCTTCAAATTTCACGGATTCAACGTCCTATGGACGATCTCATCCCAGTCCCCACCTGCCGTTTTCTTTGAATTCAGCTCCATTGCTCCTGCACCACTTCATCCTTTCACTCAAATTTTCCATTCAATAACCCAATAATGATAAAAGTCGAAGGATTTTCTAAAATTTAAAATACATTTGAGTTTTTTTTTAAGTTTGGATTAAACTTGGTGTTTTAGAAGATGAGTTTGGAGGAAAATAAAAAAAAATAGTCTAATTGTTTCAGTTTTGTGAAAATTCTGAACACAAAAAATAAGAATTTGAGAATTTTAAGTAATATAAAATTGATGAAGGGAATATATTTACACATAGAAAAAAAAAAACAAAACATAATTGGCTAAAAAAATTGAAAGGTCAAAATAACATTATCAAATCAAATTAAAAGGAGTAAAAGTATAATTGAACCCCTTTAATATAAGAACAAAACAATAACATACATTGTTGTATTGTGCAATGAGAAAAGAGAAAGATTTTTAAAAAAAAAAGGTCGAAGCGAGTGATGTTTGATAGGTCATTTTATGTGTGTCACTTTATGATGCAAGTGCAGCTGCTAGAAAAAAAAGACCACAAAAAAGAAGAAAACATTCTTACAAAATAAATTGGACATGGATAGAACTTTTAAATAAAACAGAAAATTTAGAAAAGATTATAAGATTAAAAAGTCAGTCTTGTTTAAATGACTTAAACACCATGTTTATCCGCATGTGGCATTGTTGAATAACATTGGTTTAAATGGAAGAAAAAAATGATTTTATATATTTTTGTACTCAATTACCACGTTATTGTCCAAAAATTTTGATGTAGATGCTTGTGATATTTTTCATTTTGGTCAGAGATCTGTGTGATGGGTCAAGTTTTGTGTAGAGTTCCTGCATGCCATTTCCCGTGGAATACTCTTTTGGAACATCCTTTTCAGGCCCAAGTCCCAACATTAAGTGGGCCAATATTTAATTTTGTCCAACTTAATTTTGGCCCAACGTGCTTTTTTAATATATTCTTTTCAACTCTATCTATTAGCTCAGTTGTTTATTTACTTAACCAAAAAGAAATTATTTATTTATTTTTGGCCCAGACCGAAAAAAAAGCACGAGTGGGTGATAGTTATATTTACCTTTTCCTCATATACACATAAAATAATCTCCTTCACTCCTCCCAGAAAAAAAAAGAGTGAATAGGTGTAGTAATGTGTATGATCATAAATATATAAAACTATATCGATGACAGTCTAATAAGATACCGAATGAGGCTAAAAAATGCACGATGAGAAATACTTTGGCATCGAAGGTTGTATTTTTATATTTATAAAAATCACGCGTGTTACTTTTTTACTTTTCTTTAATTTTTCTTCATACTTATATATATATATATATATTAAAAATTTTAATAAAAAATTTAGAGTGTGTTAAATAATATATTGCTACTATTCATCTTAGTGTTAATATTGGCGGGAGTGTGTGTATGTGTCACTCAATTTCAATTTTGTAGTGTGTCGGTAGCTTCAATGTTTGCACTTAAGAAGGTACAAGTTGACGTTTGGCTGTACTTGCATCATTGTTCTCTTTTCAAACAGGTAGCCATTTACCACACTAACATACTCTAAAATTGTTTTTAGCCTCAGCACTGCACTGTGATTCTAGCTATTTGTTTTCCTCTTAATAATCATACTCACCCCAATTAGTGCACTACAACACTATCACATCCCCATTAGAGCAACCATGGTGATCGTGCAAGTCTTGCTAGCAGAATTTTAGCCTCAAATCATCTTTAACAAGTTGCCTTATTAGTGAACACAACATATTTTCAACTTGTTTCATTATGTTTTTTTGCTACAATCCATAAAACTATCGAAAACATAAACAACTGTATTATTAGTGTTAATATTAATTTGCTTTCATAGGAGTTATATTATACAATATAGCTAGATATATTAGTGTAGCAAATGACAATAATGGAGTGGTAGAATGGAATGTTGATGATGAGTGGTGGATCTTGACTCAAATTTTTGGAGAGTCATTAGAAGTTGGTTAAAATGATTCAATTCAAATTTACTTTAGTTATATATAATTTTATCAAAATTTAAAAATAATGCATTAACAAAAAAAAAAATATATAAAATAATACAAAAAAAATTAAAAGTAGAATGACTGATATTAAAGGTGTTTATAATATTTTTTATATAAAAAGTTATCAGTCATAATAAAAAATTTTGGGGGAGCTGTCCGCTACTGTTGATGGGATGACTTGAAGCCCAGCTACTCCAAAATAAGGCAAAGTATCAGTGTCATATCCATATCTGAAGCCGAATCGCATATATAATCCCAGACATATTATGTATTTAATGAGCATGAGATTGAAGTGAAAGTCATTAAAAAGAGGATTTTTTTCCAATTAATTTTTGTTCCTACCATTCATAACAGTCTTATCACAAACTATGGATAAAGTGGAATCTTAACAAAGAATATTTGAGGTAGGAAAAAGTTCAAAACATGAAACGTATATACAGATGTCATGGTAATCTTAAGCTCCTTTACCAGCTCACAACATGCTATACCTGCGGTACCTTGTCAACTATGCCTCAACACTTTTAACAGTATCTACAACTACGGTACTAACACCTTCCAAAATATGTATACGGCCATCTGCCATGTGTAAGATGGTTACCAAATAATGGCATACATTATTGTAAAATGAATTCAGTTACCGTGTCTTTTCATATAGATAAAGCACTGACTCTCTTGCAGTGTATTTATGCTACCAAAAATGAGTTCAAAGGCATTCTCCAATTTGTTGGTCATTTTCACGGTTGTATTGCCTTGTTTGATCGGTTTAAGTCACAGTGGATGTGAATTCAACGCAATCTTCAACTTTGGGGATTCAAATTCAGATACTGGTGGCTTTTATGCAGCTTTTCCTGCAGAAACTGGTCCTTATGGAATGACTTTTTTCAAGAAACCAGCAGGCCGGGCTTCAGATGGGAGACTCATCGTTGATTTTCTTGGTAATCAAACATCTTTTTATCTTCTTTGGCATTAAGGCTTCTTAAAGTTTTCACTTTAGCTCCATTGAGATTTTTTTTTCCTTTGATTTCATATAGTATCTATTCTTATAAATCTGGGTTTTGAGGAAGGATTTAATTGAAATTGAGGTTTTTGTTTCTGCTTTATTCTTTATTTCGTCTGTTTTATTCTCGGCACCAATGAAGGCAAGCCATAAGGATTCCTTAGTTATTATAAATGCGTTTAATACATAGTGAACTGGTTTGAATCAACCATTTTTGTTCATGTTGATTTTTCAAATGTTCTTGTGGAGTAAAAAAAATTATCTCTTTTTTCGTAAGCATTAATTTGGTGGGACCTTATCAATATTTGTGAATATTTATGAAGAGAAAGATAAACACAAATTTACATGACAAGGTCATGTGAAAATTAAACACAAGTGGATCCATCCGAGGGATTCATTAAGATCTTATTGATTTTGTTTCTTTGGTGTTTCATGTAATATCACTTTTTCTGATTTATATTGCAGGGTGTTAAGATAAGCAAGCTGTTAAATTTAATAGGAAACAACAAAAATTAAACTGATTGGTGCGTTGATCTTTGGGCTTAATAACTGTTTGTAATCGGGAAATTAACAGATTTTAGTAAAATTCTCATAATATCTTATTATTAGCATATAGCCTATATTCTTGTCTTATTATAAGAACACTTTTAAGAGTCAAGACTTTGCCTTTACTAAGGTTGTACCTTTCTTCTTGAGGAAGTTTTCTTTACAAGATAAGAAGCCTAGCTGGAAATAGTTGTATAGTAATGGTTAATATATCTTCTAGACTTCAGTTGCAAAATATAGTGGCACTTTCTGATGCGTCTTTAGCTGTACATGAATCACTTTCCTACCCATCAATAAATTCAATTAACTATGTTTGGGGTCCAGGAAAGGAAAGATTGGCTCCAACAACCGTTAAATTTGATAATATATCTAACGTGTGTTGTCATCTATGTATTACTGTGAAAAAAGACAATTTAATGCTTGAGCTGTTATGTGTTACACAACTAGTCAAATTAATTAACTAGAAAAATGAATAAAAAATTATGCTTACTCATTGCAATAGGAGAAGGCTTCTAGCAGTGGTACTAATATTAATCAAACAGTATTGAATTTGATTTGGCAGCTCAAGCTCTAGGATTGCCATTTTTGAGTCCATATCTGCAATCAATTGGATCTGATTTTAAACATGGGGCCAACTATGCTACATTGGCATCCACTGTGCTTCTGCCTAATACTTCATTGTTTGTTACTGGGATCAGCCCTTTCTCTCTTGCTATCCAGCTCAACCAAATGAAGCAATTCAAAACAAAGGTTAACGAACTTGATGAACAAGGTACAAAATACACAAACTTACTTTTCTTAAAAAGATAAAAATCTTCCTTAGTTTCTACAGTAATGTACTAGTTTCATTTGCTTGTTCCTCAGGAACCGAACTTCCTTCATCGGATATATTTGGAAAATCTCTTTACACATTTTACATTGGCCAAAATGATTTTACTTCCAACTTAGCAACCATTGGCATAAGTGGAGTGCAGCAGTACCTCCCTCAAGTTGTTTCACAAATTGCTGCTACCATTAAGGTGAGATTAACTTAACAGTCAATATCGATTCAAATCTAGAATTATTGATACAGAAATAAAAATATTATTAAATTGGATTGTGCTCAATGAAATTTCTAGGAGCTACATAATCTTGGAGGGCGTACATTTTTGGTTCTTAATCTTGCACCGGTGGGATGCTACCCTTCATTCTTGGTGCAGCTTCCTCATAATAGTTCAGATATTGATGAATTTGGATGCTTGATTTCTTACAACAATGCGGTAGTGGACTATAACAACATGTTGGAAGAGACATTGAGACAAACCAGAGAAAGTCTTTCTGATGCTTCTGTCGTTTATGTGGACACACACAAAGTTCTATTAGAGCTCTTCCAGCATCCCACTTCTCATGGTTCAAACACTCATCCCTGGGCTTATTTAATAATAATAACAATAAACTATTTTGATCCTGAAAGATATTTTATTTCTCAATTTGGTTTCCCAAGGTTTCTTTTTATCTAATTCAGTTCTCGAATATTTCAATTAATCTACTAAACAATTATAAACACATTACCATTTATAAGAGAAAGTTCCGATTCAATTGAGAAACTGGGGGAGGGAAGTACTTTATTTATATTTTATTTAGAAACTCACGACATTATATTGATATTTCTTGGACACCCTTTTGGCTATTATAAATTATTTATATTAACAGATGCTAAATATATAACCAGAATGTCTTTACTATGCTACTGACTTTGTTTATTTTTTCTTGGAACAGGGCTTCAGTATGGTACAAAAGCTTGTTGTGGATATGGAGGGGGTGACTACAACTTCGATCCTAAAGTTTACTGTGGCAATACCAGAGAGATAAATGGCAGCACAGTGACAGCAACAGCCTGTGATGATCCCTACAACTACGTGAGTTGGGATGGAATCCATGCAACAGAAGCAGCAAACAAGCTTACTACCTATGCCATTCTAAATGGATCATATTCTGATCCCCCTTTCCCATTTCAGGAACACTGTGATCTTCAACCTATAGGTTGATCCATTTCCTTCAGGGTTGTTTCATAATTAACAAATGATGAAGCTCCTACCTCAAGATATTACAAAAATAATTTTCAACAAGAAATCAAACCATAATTTCTTATAATACATAACTTTCAATACCGGATAAAAACAAGTTTGTTTGCTGTTCATAATCTACCAGCTTATAATTCAGCATTCATTTGCATGATGTTAACAGTACAAACTATAATTGGTTTTAGCCCAAAACAACTACAGTAGAGACAGGCTTTAGTCCAATTGGTCACATATTTCTAATTTTTATATGTTTCTTAAAATCTCACTTCATGCAATTCTCAATAGAATTTACCAGTCAACTAAGTTAATCATTTAAGGTCTTGCTTTTCATAAATTTTTCTTCAAGGTTCTTCTCGGGTCGTGTTCCATATAACGAGGGATCTTAATCATTGTTGATCGTGTCCACGATAAAAAAGGCTTGGAGACAGATAATTCGCCAGCTTCAAATCAAACTCTCCAAAATTATGTCTTATTTAGCTATAACTTGCCTTGTTGCTTTTCTCATTGTGTAACCAGATTTCGAAAGCAAATAGTATTGTGAAGCAGTTTATAGATTGTTTGACCTCACTTTAATAACAGCTAGTCACACCACCAACACATTTTGTGATGAGTATCCTAGGGATTATCAGAAAACCAATTTTGAGTAATTAAAATTGGTAAGTTTTTATCAGAAGAAAAAATATTCATTACATTAAAATTTGTAAATTATCATTTATGTTTTTCTTATTAAAAAAGTTATTTTATAAGCAATTAACATCAGCTCTAAAGGTTAAAGCTATCATGATTGTTTTTTCTTTAGCATGACGTTCTCCAGCTTTGCCACACAGCCAACCACTTGGATTTGGGATTAAAGCTTATTAATCTCCACGTAAGAACGAGAAACACGCTTTCCAAAGAAATAAAAAATTCACTCGTACTTCTCCAAATAGGATCTTAATCTTGGTACGTATGCATAAACAGAATAATTGATTCGGCTACAGTTGAGCTAGTGATAAACAAAAGATTTACCGACAACGAAATGGATTGGTACAAAAAAGACTGAAGAGGTTGAGAAATTCTATTCTACATAAAGGGATACACAAATGCCTCTCATACATCAAAACAAAGAAATGATGATCGAAAACATATCAAGTTGACTTGCTACCTGTTAATACAGTTCTGTTCTATTCAGTTTCGGAAATTTTCTTTTTCAGTGCCTCAATGTCTGTAGCTAGTTCCTTTCTGCTAGACTGTACACAAAAGCAATTATATTATTTATAGCAAATATACCGCTTAAGGCACACATGATCAAATGGGAAAAAAGTACACGCACATATATTTGGATATGGTCTGTCATTCATCCATGATAACATACGAGTCCCACGTTTGTGCATATTTTAAGCTGATGATAAAATATACGGGTCCCATCCAATTTGAGTGACCTCCGTAAGGTCCTCTAGTTTATATACCATTTGATATGTTCTTAAAGAATCACTTTATCAGTTTCAAAAATTTTTCATTTACCAGAAGTATCAAAACATCAATATTCATATCAATGCAATCTCAAGAAGGCTTGATATTCACAAATATTTGACCTACCTTGAACAGAAGGTATCGATAGACAAACCATCCAGTGTACCCTAGTCCTACCAACTCCATAATCTTTGGAAGCTGAAAAATAAATAAAATTGTATCAGATTGATTCAAAAAGCCATATAGAGCATAAGACTAAAACTTAAGCATGCTTACTAATGGGTCCCTCACCACTAGAGGGAATGACAAAATGCAAACAAGTGCATTGTTTGTGACAAGAGTGATGGCTTACCAAGGGAACTGAGTTGATGGCACCAACAAGAATTGAAGATAACCAAAGAGCAACAATAGCCCCACCACCATATAGAAGCACTGTAGACTTGTTTTCAAGAGCATCCCACTGATAATCACAAACGGAGAATATTGATTATTGCCAATTCGTTAATAGAAGAAAAGGAAAATGGTGTTGCCCAAAAGAGGAAAATGAAAATACAAAATCAAGCTAAATTAATCAACCCAATTTGTAAACTCCTTGCCTTCTGTTTCAAATCTGTAAACAACTCGCTAGCATCTACAGAAGTAGATGTTTCCTCTGAAGAAGCCCGGGTCAGAAGCTGAGAAATCTTTCGATTTTCTAAACAAAAAGAAATAGATAAACAAGAAAAAAAATAACACTGAAAACAGAACAAAGAGTAGTCTTAAAGTAGAAATAGTTTTCAATTTTCTAAACAAACTTAAACTTCAAAATGTAGTCTGTGTGGATGACAAGAATTAGAAACACATATCACATTATGTGTTGTGAATACCTGAAAGAATAAAGTGATTTTGACGGAAAGGGGAAGAAGAAGAGCGAGGGCGAGGAGAGAGTGTTGGAAAATCAGAGCAGCGGGTGACTTTGGTGCGTGTCAAAAGAGGAGGAACTAATACAGTGGTTGTTGCCGCCGCCATTTTTGTTTGTGTTTAGTGTGGTGGTGTTCTCAGTCACCGGTCCTTGTTCTTGCTCGGTTGCATGGTCACTCTAATATTGGCCACGTGACAAGCCTCAGTTTCTGATTGGTTGCTTCCCTATCTTGAAAATCCACATTCCATGTTTTTACTATTTTCATCATACTTTTTTAATCCTGCCCTTGTGTTGGTGACATTAATACGGAGTATAGAATATTGGCCACAACTCTCACCTGCTTTGTTAAGTCACAGAGACAGGTAGGTAAATTGTGTGTTGGCTAAAGATTTCTTTTATTTTAATGTTAGCATTTTTTTATTAGTTTTTGATAAATTTAAAATCTGAAAAAATTAGTTTAAATAATCGTGAGAAGTTACAATAATTTTTTTAAATAAAAAAATGTTATACTCTTACAAATTTAAGTAAATGGTTTTAGTTCCAAAAAAAAAACATAAATTTGTAGGTTTTAAATTTCAAATTTTGATGGTATTTTTAATAGCTTCACGGCTAGTAGCCATTAATAGTATCGGTTATGTATCTGAATTATCTTGAGTCATGTGTGCTTCATTATCATTTCTTTTTTCCTGTTCTTTTTTTGTTAAATCTACACTTATCGAAGTGACCTTTCTTTAGACAACTATAACACACAATCTTACTCTTATTAAACTTCTTTTTTGCCACATTTTTCCTTCCTCATTCCTTCCACCTGCTCTTGAAGAGATTTTTACTTGTTCCCGAAAATCTGTCTTCTTTCCCTTTCCCTTTCACCATTTACCCTTTTTCTTGGTTACCGTTGTCTGCAAAGCTTGTTCAACAATCTTGTTTGCACCCTCAATTCATGTGTTTCCAAGGAACCTTGAAGTTCTTCAATTATCATAGTTTCCAAGTTCTTTGATTCCTCTATTAAGCTTCTCACTCTGGCATGACACTTTTCAAGAATATTCCAAACCTCCTTTCCACCCTTTATAGTAGCAATTTTCTCAAAGTGGGTGACATCCACATATAGGTGAATCAAGAACATTGCCTTGCAATCCCTTTTCTTGGCTTATTTATTTGATCTCTTGCACCACCTCAAGAACATCCTGAAAATTGAAAATTACTCTCGTTTGGACGCACCACCTTTTCCCAATTTTTGGTATTAAGAACTAGTAAATTCTCAAGAAGATTTCCATTAGATACCAGTTTTATAATTTTGTAGGGAAGAAACTCAAAAGTATTACAGCTCAATGTCAAAAAGATAAAAGATTTAACATAAAAATAAGATTAATCACATCTTTACAAATTATACACGACAAATTATTTATATGCCAAGCTTTAAAAAAATCATTATTAACAATCGCACCACACGCTAACTAAAAAAAATTATCATACCAGTCATTTTTCTATCTCGACACAATTTTACTTCTTGAGAATCCGAATATGTACTCCAATGACATTTAATGTATTGCATTTTTACAGCTCATTATTATTATTACATTAATATTTATTATTTCTGATTTTATTTTAAAAATATTTATCAATATTTTTAAATTTAAGATATATTTATATATATTCAGTATGTAATACACTAATTTAATTGTTTGATGTATTATAGATATTTCTAAAATAAAAAATAAATTTATAATGTGTAATCATTTATTTATTAGTTTTAATAAATTAAATATTTATTTATTATAAATAGAATAAATGATAATACTATTATAATATTTTTTTATCGCGTGTTCCTTAGTTTATTGATTAAAAACTTTAAATTCATTGACTCGTATAGAAGTACAAATTTATTAAATTATTTTATTTGAATTTATTAACTTACTTTAAGATATTTCTATACTGTGTGTAATAAATCTTATTATAAGATGGAATTTTAAATAATTTTTTTGGTCGTACTATATTTTTAAAAACTATAATCAAACTTTAAGAGATAACAACATGCATCAAATAAAAAATAATTTTTTTAATTTTAAGAATTAAGTTAGGTTCAAGTCTTACAAAGTCAAACTTAGTATTATCAATTTTTTCTTAATTGACTGTCTTGCTACCTTATGTAATATCCTCACCTACCAAATTTTTCTCTTTTGTAAAAACACGTCTAAATCACCTATAAAAAAACTTATAAGATGTATATACTTAATGAGATATAAAAAAATTTATAACAAGCATGATAAATGGTATAGTACAATGAAAGATAAAGAAAAATAAAATACAACAGAAAAAAATAACATTTAAATATATAAAAATCAAAATCATAACAACATAGCGTATCCTGTTTTTATATGAGTAATAATAAACATGTAATATTTTTTTAAACATTTTTAGTTTTTACAGTGACGTTTCTTTATTTCTCGTCTCATTTGTTACTTCTATATTGTTTTATTATTATTTTCTTACATTGTAAAACCTTTTGTTTGAATATATTGTAAAAACATCACCACTCTTTCCATATCATTTTTTTTTTTTTAAAGATTTTCCATGTTAAGTTGTTCTGTTTTTAGTCTGCAGATATTCTCGTTATGTGTAGTAATTGCGCAATTAAATCGGTGTATCTTGTTCTGGTTTTTTTCGAACATATGATTTTCATCCCATTTGTACGTTGTAAAAATTTTCTTTAACATGTTGTCCTTCAAAGCTTATAAATATTTATGTCAAGAAAAAGTGCATCAACACTATTAAAGATACGTACTTTTCACCCAAACACAAATAAAATTATCTTTTTCTTTACTCGCCATAAATTATGATTGATGCAATTGCCTTGAAACATCCAAATTATTCTTAACATTTTTTTCATTAATTATAAATATTCATAAAATTATATAAATTTTAATCAGTTAATATTTTTTAATTCACACATATAAAAAATAAAATAAATAAGGATAGAAATTGACTTTTATTAAGGATTTTAATTTCCTTTGAACACTCCACTTTTTACTACAATATGATAAAAAAAAATATATTTATATATCGAACATTTTTCCCCTTTGTAAAAAATGGAATTGATGAACAAAATTGCATAAACTTAACGCTTAAGTGATGGAAAATGACTTTTGAAAATAATACAACTTAAAAAAAAATTGTCATTCTCACCTTCTTAACACTATATAAAAGGGAAAAAGAAAAATTTCATGACAGTGAAAAAATTATATATCATAAATCATATACATAAAAAAAAATAATAAGAGATTGTTAACCTCTCACATTTATGTTCTTTTATTTTCTTACGATATAAAAAGTTTATTTGATAAGGATTTTATTTACAAAGAGAACACTGTGATGATGTTTTGGATGGACTTTAAAATCTAATAACTAGATCAAAGACTAAGAAGGTCAATAGTCACTTAACAAGTTTATTGGACTGGTGAAGCACTTACACCTCTTAGAGAATCATATGAAGTCCTATGCATATTTTACCTACATCATCCTAGATAAATAGATTTTATGTGTATATCTTGTTAAATTAGTATAAATATCATGTATTAGTTTAATATTTATTTTTTTATATTTCATTAGTTATTCTTGTAATTTTTTGGGCTTAGTTGCTTTGAATCTTCAATTGGCCACATTTAGTTAGATAGTTTATGAATTAGAATTGACTTTAAGAACGATCATTAGTATAATCTCCTTATGTAAGCTTATATAAATGCTTCTCTTTTTATAAGTCAGACACTTTTAGTAATAAATGATAAATATTTATTTGAGTTTGTAAAATTTTGAATGAATCGTTAAAGTGTGAAAAATAAAAACTATGCTTTTCTTCACATAATGATGTCTTTTTCTTTTCATTTTTTTTCTTTTATTTTTCGTTCAATTATTTCAGAATTATTACAAAATGTTGATTGATCAATAGCTTTTCATCTAAAGAAGCACTAAGAAAGAAGTATCAAAATATATCGGTCTCTTACATAAATCTCAAGCTCATATTAATTTAATAAAATACCATATTTTATAAAAAGATAAATAGATGGAACTAAATAAATAAGAAAAATTCGGTTAGTAGTTGGCTTAAATTTCGAACCAAACCAATGTCAAAGGCATGAGCTAACAAATTAACACATATCATAACTAAAAAACGAAACCAACAGAATTATTAAATTGCATCCTTTAATTATTTATTCTTACCGCAATTCACAGCTTGCTTTTAGGTTGTTCTAAGAAAATAAAAAAATTAAAATAAAATAAAAAAGAAGTAAAAAAGGCATCTTGTGTTGTCTTCTCTTTTATTTCACCGCCTTTCATTCGTAATATAGGGCTTGTGTTGTGCTGTGTTGTGCTGTGTTGCGTTGCGTATCGTTCACCCTCTCTTCTCTTTTCTTCTCCCTTTCTCTGCTTGCAGTTGCAGATGCAGAGTTAGGAGGGTGTTTCTGTAATTTAGAGGATGAAGGATTTCAATTCGGATCTATTTGACCCGGGAACGGTGGTGGACTCCTCCGATTACTCTCGCACTGCTTCCTCTTCCGACGCCGATTTCGCCTTCGCTTTCAATGACAGTAATTTCTCTGATAGGATCCTCAGAATCGAGATCATGGGTGACCCCGTTGAGCCTCGCCCCGATTCTGACGGTTGCACCACCATCGCTGACTGGGCTCGCCACCGCAAGAGGAGACGCGAGGATATCAAGAAGGATAACGGTATATATCTTTCTCCCTAAACTATCTTTTTTCTTTTTCTTTTTTTGAAGTTTTTCTGCGAAGGAGAGAGAGGAATTGGGAAATTATGCATGGTGTTTTCTTCTTGTTTATCTTATTTCATATCCTCTGCTTTCACCTATTTGTTATAAAATACTGTAAATTACTGTGGTTGAACATATGTGACCGTTTCTTTAGAGAAGAGGATGATGGGAAAGAGAATGAGTTGAAATGGAACACTCAAATCAAACGAACCATGTTATCAGGGATAAAACTTAAGTGTAGTAGCATTAGTTGAGGGTGACTTTTAATCCAATTTTGTGTTTCACCCTGGTTCATTAGGTTAACAAGGTGAAAGTCCAATTTGAATTAGAGAACAACACTGATAGCGCCTGAGATACTGCTGCTAAGATTTTGTGCTATTATCAAAGAGCAGTATTCAATTATTCACTCAAACTCTAAGAAGGCAAATTTTTTTTTACATGTAATGACCTAACATGT